ACTCTTAACCACTAAGCCATCTCTCCAATTCCATACAACACTTTTAAATCACTGTATCAAAGTAGAATACTTCCATTTAGAAACAAAAGAAAATTATGAAAAACTGTTATGCTATGCCAACAGCCTCATACACCCTGCACTTCCTACTCTTAAGTGATCATCCAAATGGTGGATGGATTTCTATACCATCCAGGTTTGTGTAGGTGCTCTCCAGCATGTACACACCACAACAAAATCTCTGAATGACAGATTTCTTTGCATGCATCCTCATAATTAAGCAATGGATGACTATACTTAAGACACATGCTGCCATTTGATTAAGCATGAACCTAAAAGATTTTTATAAGCTATTACCTGTGAGATATGATTGATGGAAGATTCCATTCTCCGAAGCTGAGAGGCCTGGATGTCCAGCAGCTGGAGAACATTGTTGGCCAATGCATTTATTTGATAAGCAACACTAGCTAGAGATTGGATTGTGTACGCTTTGGTCTCTTCCAGAGCTTTTCTCTTGTCTGTAGCCTGTGTGTAGTTGTTTTCACAGTAGTCTGCCACCCGGGTCAGGTTCTGGTAGCTCTCTATCAGCGCCCTCTTGCCGGAAGGGATCTCCTCCTCTAGAAGCATCTGCAGCTCTGCCATTTTCCACCGCTCTGCATCGCTTCCCCGCGCGGAAGTGAACACACCAGAGATCGCGACGACTGAGCTCACGGCCCCACCAGCAGCCACCGTGCCCCCGCCGGGTACTCCCCTACTGTCGGCCCAGTTGCTGATAGCCCAAATCCGCCACCACCACCTCCACCAGATGACATTCCCATGTTTGATGACTCTCCACCTCCACCACCACCACCTCCAGTGGACTATGAAGATGAGGAAGCTGCAGTAGTTCAGTACAGTGACTCCTATGCAGATGGGGATCCTGCATGGGCCCCCAAGAACTATATTGAGAAAGTTGTTGCAATATATGATTATACAGAAGACAAGGACGATGAGCTGTCGTTTAAGGAGGATGCAATCATCTATGTTATAAAGAAGAATGACGATGGCTGGTTTGAAGGAGTCTGCAATCGAGTGACTGGACTCTTTCCTGGGAACTATGTTGAGTCAGTCATGCACTATGCTGATTAGGGTTTGGTTTTTTTGTTTTGTTTTGTTTCTGTTTTTTTAAAAAGAATACTTTTTTCTTTCTGTTTTTTTCTTTCCATGTAGGTTCTTATTACTCATACTGTGGGACTCTATGGTTAACAGGATTGTCTTAATGTTTTAAAATGTACCCATATTTTCAGGACATGCTATATGATTGGTATATTTGAATTTCTACCTATAAGCATAAATCTGAGGCAGTCTGTGTATTGCTGAACAGCAGTTTATACAACAGGATGCCTATAATTGATTATGCATATGTACTTACACATTGATAACTTTATGACCAGCTTAGATATTCTGGGGATATGGGGTATTATATTTAACACATCATGATTCAGAATGTACCATTACATGTTTCAGTGCAGCATGGTTACTAACACTATGTCAGACTAATATTAAAATCAGAAAACTTAAATGCTGGTGCTGGTCATACTTTTTGTTTAAATTCTCATTTAAAAAAATACTGTGTTTAAAGCATGCATAAAATTTTATGTATTGAAATATACTTAAAAATTCCAAGATACTTCCAATTTGTGTAACACTTACCTGAGTATTCATACTTGAGTCTTTAAGGATACCATGTGAAACAAAGGGTTATCTGTAATGTTGTAATTTGTATCTAAGTTTTTTAATGAGTAAAATTTGCATTATAAATTTTTCCATTCCTAAATACATAAGTGAACCAAAGGAAAAAAAATAGTGATGTTGGTCTACGGTGAGTAGTAGAGTTGATGCTTCATTAATTATTGCTGATTTAAGTCTAAGACAAAAGTAAAGATAAAAACACTGAAATATTGTTTTAATAGAAGTTTTCTCGAGCTAGGATATTGAGCTCCAAAATTATCTAGGAGCTTCAGTCTGTTACAGATGCCAACTAGTCAACTTCAAGGAAATTCAATGAGTAATTGGCAGGATGAGAAAATCCCAGTGCTTTGTGATTGCCTTTATGCTATGCCCATTTTCTTACATTTCAATAGCATTTACTGAGCTAGATACCCTGTGTGCATGTTGTCCAAACCTACCCAGCACCACAAGGAATGTATGGTATTATCATCACTTTGAAGATGTTTGATATAATAGCGTTACTGACTAAGAGGAACCAGAGTCAATATGAAGGCAAAAGTTATCATATTTTAAAGTACAAACTTCATTGCTCATGCTGACCATAGTCAAAAATCATAAAACAACCCAGGTTGAAGCAGTGGAGGAAAAGGCAGAAAAGTCTGGCTTTTGTGACTTGTCCACTATTTAGAAATAAGTCAGTTGCTCTCTAGGACACAGGACAAATACTATTAAGGACATTAGAGTACTTTTCTGAGACATTTTTTAAACTATCCTTTTCTGGTCTAAATATGTTATTTTCACTGATTTTATCACCTAAAATTGATGAGTGGACCATGAACTTCAGAAGTCTACTCTGTGCCTCAAAGAGGGGTGCAAATAATAGTTACCATTAAAGGCAGAAGTAGAAGAGGAAAAGCCATGTATATCAGTTCACAAGAGGCAGGAAACAATCATACTGGATCATTCAGGAGGGTTCCTACATGGAGGTGCCACATAAACTGAACTTTGAAAGCTCTAGAGAAAGGATAGGTTGAGTGTAAGACAGTAGAGGTAGGGAGGTGGGAAAACTTGAACATTTTGGATCAAGAGCAAGAAAGAAAAAGATAAAAAGATAAATTATATTGAGGAGCCAAATTAAGAAGGTTAGGTTATTTTTCCAGAACAAAAGTCTTTATGACATTTTATTTATAATTCATTTGGTAGTATTGAGGATGGACCTAGGGCACATGATATGAAAGCATTCTACCTCTGAGATATCACCCCTGAATGGATATGAAACCTTAGAGCTCTGCTTTAGAAAGAGTGCCTCAACGTGTCTTGATGTATATGTCAGATTCAAATCTAGGAGCCCGAGAGAATGCCAGTATCATTGATGGAAAGCAGGAAGCCAAAATCTGGTTTGTGCGTAGCTCTTCCACTAAATTCAGGTTGCATGTGTTTAATTTGAAAAACTATGGAAATAGAAGACTGTGCTTTGTGTGAAGGGAGAAAAGAGATTCTGTCAGTTTGCCAATTCTAAGCTTCTAAGCAAAACTCTGATGGTAATGAGATGGTCAAGAACAGACTTCAGGGATGTAAACAGCAAGGCAGCTGTCAGAAAGAGAAGCAGTGGATCGGACAGAATAAATGGTGTTTGGAGGTGAAAGTATAATTTCTGGAAGCAAATGATATCTCATCAAATTATAAGTTTCTGTGGAGCTTACAGATTGTTGCGGTCATTATAATACAACCTATATATTTTAGTATTCTCTGCAACAGCTGTGGGAGAATGTTTCACATGCTCTTGATGCTCAGTAAGGCAGAAGATTTATACCCTTCTTTAAAATACATACTGTACAGAATTTGAGGCCTGTGAAGGACTTGGTTTTATAATGAGGAGATGTCTGTTTATTGCCCTGAGTTAAGGATCTCCAGTTTTATTACTTTAGGAAAACAAAGATATTCACATCAAAGATGAAGGCACCTATAGCATTATCTCTAAGTTATGTGTTCTGTTAGACCACAAATGTAAAAATGTCTGATTTTAAAATATGACAAATCACTGTGGGGCACTGAGTACTGAATTTGTACTGAATGCATGTGACAACAAGGAGGTAGAAGGCACCAAGATGTCCATGTCTTAAACTAGGTAACTCCATTGTGGTGGGCACACAAAATGAGATGGCAAGCAGGTGCCAGAGGCCTTGTACTAGAGGAGCATATGGCAAGCTTCATCTTCTAAGTGTAAAGTCCAGTGGAAAAAAGTAGCACATAGAATAAGCACCACAAAACAGTGACATGGATGTATACACCACTGTTCATACATTGTACAAGGACACACCCACAGCCAAAGACATAGTCATTGGGATAATTGTCTCCTGAATTGCTGAGGGAACAAACATGGGCATTGGGATGCAGGGGAGGATAAAATAAAGCATAAGAAGGGCTTTCAGATGCCCAATGAGGCATAAAGTGAAGAGCTGATGGAGGCATATTTGCAGTTTTCAAAAAGCTAAATGCAGTATATATATATATATATATATATATATATATATATATATATATCCTGAGAAATGACTATATAGGCTTACCTTTGGGGTACTAGTTACTTTCTGTTGCTATGAGAAAACACCATGAACAAAAGCAACATGAGAAAGAAAGTTTATTTTGGCTTCCAGTTACAGAGGGAGAGTCCATAATGGCAGGGAGGGCATAGGAGCAGACTACAGACCAGGGAGCTGGATGATCACATTTCCATTCACACAGAGAAAGCAGGGAAAGCAAGCAGGAAGCAGGGTGGGGCTGTAACCCCTCAAAGCCTACCCCTAGTGACATATTTCTTCCAGGGCTGCACTTTTTAAAGGTTCTATCACCTCACCTCCCCAAACAGTGCCACAAGCTGGGAGCTAAGTGTTCCAATGAATGAGCTTATGTAAAGAGGGTATTTCTCATTTAAACTACCATGATTGTCAAGCACAAACAGGGAGGAAACAGATATGATCTGCCACAACATTCACTCTTATCATAGGTCTACTAATTAGGGCTTCAGCTATATAGCTCAAAGTGACATCAGATATGATGAGACAAGCAAGAAAGGGTGGGACTGTTATTTAATTATAGTAGGAACAGAGATCACAGGGTCCTACCCCAGGGTTTTCAAACACAGGAAACCTTTTCATGTGATAGCAGTTGGTACAATTATCTAAGGCATCTCATGTCATATAATTATCAAGCAGGAATCTAATATTGACATTTGTGTTTTGTCTTAATAGTTATATTTAATACTTCTTGTCTTTCATACTGTATGTTCTAGCAAATTTGGTTTCTATCCATTCAAATGAGATTATCATTTATTAAAGTTCAATTTCACTACATCAGTAAGCATATTCTTAATACACAGTGATTGGCAGAAAATATGAGCATATATATCTATAGAGAGATAATTCATAGGAACCATATTTTTCTATGCAGCAACATCAATCAAATTTCTGTTTCTTTGCTCTTTCCAAATTGAAATTCAGTGCAGTAAATCAAACAGTGCCCCACCCCCACAAGAAGCCCCATTCAAGATCTGGATAACTAGTAATTGGGATACTGTGTTTTTGTCTTAACTGCGTTCAACACAAAATTCCATTTGCTATGCATTTGTTCTAGCCGCTCTTTTTTGAACTTGTCTTGGAAAGAACAGTGGTTATCTTCATCTTCTGTCTCTGAGATGATCTCCATCTTCTGAATGATGAGTTTGATCAGCTCATGCTGCTTTTCCAAGAGCGAAGTGAGGTCCTTCAGCCTATAAGAACATACATGTGTCGTGAGCCTATTTTCAATGTTCTGTATCAGATTAACTGTGCTCAGATTATAGCCTCATAGTAGTCACCACATTCTTGAAGTTTAAGCAGTTTTCTCAAAGTTACATGAGTAGTTTGTGGCCTATTGGTTTTATCCCAGTTACTAACTTGAAACTTGTGCAGAGAGGTTGAACAGCTTTCTCATGTTCATAGTAAATGTTGTTTAGGAACCTAAGTTCAGGAAAACAAGCCATAAAGCCCTCATGCTTGTCCCCTGTCTACTGCATAGCAACTCCAGAAATCCTCAAGCCTTTTAGGGCTTTGTTATATGAACTCAGACAGCTTATGAAGAATACACTTATGAGAATGCAACCGAGAGTGAGGAAATCAGCATTTATTTTTTTCCCAGTTTTAAGGAAGCACTTTTTAACTTTATAAAATTTTATTGAGAATTCTGTACATACATATAAGGTGTTTTGATCAAATCCATGCCCATTCCCTCCCTCCAGCTCTTCCCATTTAATTTTTACTCACTTATTCCTTACAAGGTAAACTGGTTAGTGAATAGCAACAAATAAATTGTTGGGTCTAAAAAATGTCTCCTGATTCTTAGTGCTTAGCCCTATCCTTCAATAAAGCCTGATTTCCAATAGGAAATAAAGACCAGTGTGTAATGTAACTGTTCCCAATACATTATAATTTAAGAATTTTAAATTTTTTACATGCCAATAGATGGAAAAGTACCTACCGGTATTTCTGTTTCAATATTTCCATTTCCAAACATGTATCAGTATTTGGTATTTCTTGTCTTGCTTCTTGGGTACAAAGAAAGTAATGAAAAAATCGCTGTGGGATAAAACATGATAGTTACTAAAGTCAAATTGAATTCAGGAACTATTTCACAAGTATGTACCAAAAGTCTGTCTCTAAGTCAGGCTCAGTAGGACAAATATTCATAAACCACTGCTGTAACCCTCAAAGAGCTCCCAGTCCACTATGAGAAACAATAATGTCAAAAGCTATCAGTAAGGTCATACATATGTGGAAAGTGAAATATGCAAATAACATAGAAGACATAAATGGGGGAGGATTGTTTAAGAAAGGGCTTAACTCTATGTATCTTTCCTAAATTCTCAAGCATCATACACAATAGTATTCTATAAAGATTTATTAATCCAACTACTGAACAAAATTTCACATATAGACATTTCTGGCATTACATCTTAATAATTTTTAAGTTTAGTGCCCTCTATTTTTTCTAGGACTAGAGATTGAACTCAAGGCTTTTCACATGCCAGGGAAGCGCTTTACCAATGAGCCACACCCCAGCTTAATTGAGTGTCCTTTAAACGGTAGGTGACTAGAGATGGTTAAAGGTAAAAATTAAATGACCAAGAATGAGATAATTCTAGGAGTCCAGGTCAACAAGAAAGTCAAATGGACTAAATATGGAGATGAGTGGACCACAGGAAAGGAACAGGGAGGGAGATGTTAAGCATGGCCAGCTTGGGCTGGGATCTTTTCACTGTTCCCCTGAAGGAGGTTTCAAAAGGGACTGAGGCATGGCAGGAATGAAGCTTGGTTTGGGGCCTGCTAAATTTGAATTTATTTTAAGACAGAGAAGTGGAGATGTTGTGGAGGCAGTTGCGTACAGGGGCCTGAACCACAAAAAGTAAGCTCTCAGCTAGAGAAGCAAATTGCTGGATATTCTGTTTTTAGGTGATGATCACAACCATGAACAAGGTGAGGAGATAGTGTGGAGTTAAAGTTTAAATTGATACTCAATTATCATTTGTGACTACACATGGTAAAGCAACTTGCAAAAACCTCAGGAAAGACTTTGATAGAGATTGGGGAGCCCAGGCTAGTCAGAATTAGCACCCAGAATTTCTGACTCTTAGTATGGTCCTCTCTGTTATAATTTCCTGGCTGGGCTTGGTCTTTGATAACTACATGTCTTCTATAGTATATCTATGTGTGTTCTTTATTGCGCATTCTATATATCACTTAAGACATATACAAACATATGGCTATAAATCTATACATCTTATATGGCAGGTGACTGGGGAAAACAAATGACGTATTCCTACTCAGTTAGGAAGCTACTAGAAGGGTACACCTTCTCCACCCACGTTTGCTCTCACAGGGATGTGATACTATGAATGGACAGATGTCTCCCTCCCAACATCCCATTACTTTCATGTAATGGTTGGTATCCTTTAAAAAGCACAGCAACTTCTTTCCCACAGGTAGAGTAGATAGATTCAAACCTTCACAAGGACACCAATAAGGTCAGCACAATGAATGAATGCCAGGCAGCATCATTTAGGATGCTCTTTCTTAAGTGTACTTACTAACATCCTTCCATGTCTGGGTCTGTTGGGATACACTATGGTAGACTTCTGGTCTACTTTGCGTAAGTACCAGAATGGCAGCTTTTTCTCCAAGTTGGTATGAAGTTCCACCTAAAATGCATGTCGGATTTATTGATAAGATTGTTAGTTAGCATCTGGAAATCTTACACCTTGTAGAAGCATTCATCAGTCCAGCAAAATGAAAACAGATGTCCATGTCCTGATTTATGCACAGCAGCTATGCTGGCCAAGCTTCCTTAGGCCCCACTTCTGTTATCTTCATCTTGTGAGGGCGGAGAATAACTCTTCACACATTAAGAAAACAACTTGAAGCATTTTATTTACTGACCTTTCTTTCAGTGCTAAGGCGTTTCTTTGTTGTGGGTCGGGCCTTCCACCACCTGGGCAACACTATCACCCATCCCCAAGAGCCATCCTTTTAGGCCAGGGTTCTCACAATATCACCTTAGCTATCTACCCTACTAGCTCTTGGCCCATCCTTTATCAATGCTTAGCCCCTCTCTTTCTGTGTATGTGTATGTGTTACTGAGGATCAAACTCAATGCCTTGCATATGTTAGGCAAAAGGCTTTTCCACGGAGCTACACCCTAGCATCTCAACATCTACTGCCCACCATCTTTCAAAATTCTGACTCATCCCAGTATGGGCTACAAAATGAGTTCAAGGTAAGCCTGGGCTACATAGGGAGCCCTTATCTTAGAATACACACACACACACACACACACACACGCACGCACGCACGCACGAACAAACTTCACAACAGTGATGTTTTTGGTCCAGCAGCTAATCTAGCTACTTAGTTGGCCACATGTTAACCTGAAAAAGGATCCAGACAGTTTCTAAATTTTTCTGCATAGATTTTCCAGAATATTTTTTCATAGTTCCTTATACTATGAAATAGTATACTATTAATACTTTGATTATAATAGGAATGCCAGAGAACACACACACACACACACACACATGCAGAAGAGAACTCTTCAATATGGAGATAATGTCTATATTAAGTAACCATGTCCTTAGAAAATCAGCTATTCTTACATATAAGTAACTATGGTAGAGTAAATTTTGAAAGGCTTTAAATAAGTATTACGCTTACCTGCATAGCAATCCTTTTTAACGATGCATGTTTCTGAACCTCAGCAATGTCACCAACTGCCAAACCAATCTAGAGTATGATATAAAGATTAATCATGGCTCACTGAAAATGTACTTAAGGTTGGTCTTATTCTGTTCAGGCTTCAATAATAAAATAACTTAGACTGAGTAGTATATAAAATGAACTTATTCTTCACAGTTCTGAGTGGTCTGAAATGAAGGTGCTAGTGGACTCAGTGTCTCTTGTGTGTCTTCTACATATTCTTAAGTGGTAGAGGCAAGAAAGGTATATCAAGCTCCCATACACCTTTTATATAGGCTGTTCATGAGTGCTCTGTCATCATGTCCTCCAGAGGCCACACTTTTCAATAATATCACCTTATGATTAGGTATCAACATGTACATTGTGAAAGGACAAAAATGCTCAAATCATGGCAAGGTCTCTCTGCCAAAGTGGAGGAGTGGGCATAAGATCTACTGGTAGTGTAGTGGTCTTGCAATATTTTGTTAATATACTTTACAGAAGACTGCAAGCATAGATTCTTTTGTAAAAGAGATGACCACATTGCTGGACCCAATAACCTTAACTCTTATCATGAAGTTGTAGGACATATGGATTAAGCTAAAATTCATTTTAAAATAAAACTTAGTTTTGGAGAAGACAGAGTGATATGCTATCAAACGCGATTCGGTATACCACACAATGTGGTTAGGAACTCTAGGAGTTTAACAGCTACAGCTGATAAAAGTGACTTGACAACATGGAAAAATTGAAACACTAAGCTTGGAGAATAGACAGTTTATACCTTATGTATGTTCAGTATTAAGAAAAGAACTTTTCCTGGGATGGTGAGACTCTACCTAGGAACGCCTCAACATCCATGGCTAGACAGTATTAGATCAAGGGAGGCTGTTTGCTCAATCCAATTGAGTTAGTGTGCTTCTTTCACTCTTTCACTTTAGTTTTTTGTCTTTTTTTTTCCAGAGCTGAGGACCAAACCCAGGGCCTTGTGCTTGCTAAGCAAGCTCTCTACCACTGAGCTAAATCCCCAACCCCCGCTTTAGTTTTTGACATTGCACCCTGGCTTTGCTGAATCAGTATCTTGCATGCTTCACCAGAAGAGAAGCCAATAGCTACTCTTAAGAAGCTCGAGCTCCTGGAATCTCCATGAGAGAAAGAATCTATCTATCCCTCTGTGTGACCAATACTTAGAGGAGAGTGGAGCAGGGCACATAGCAAGACGGCAAAATATTTGCTGAAGGAATGAACAGTGGGAGAATACATTTTAGGAATTTCAAATTAGTACCAACTCTGTATGCATAATTCATAAGTTTTATTTGACAAGCTTGTGATTTTGAATTTGCAGTGCTTTAGCTAAGAGCTCCAGATGCCTCCCATCTAAACTGATCATGTGGCACATGCTGTTTCATGTACACAACTATGCTTTCCTAAGCTCTGAAGACAACGAAGCTTCCTAGCCATGAAACAGGTCAATTGTTCACATCTCATAGGATGAGTAGGCATAGAATGTTTCTCCTGTCTCAGGTACTATTTCAGAGTTGTTTATTAGCTCATTTAATCTTCACAAAACCCTAAGAAGTAGATGTCATTATTTTTTTGATTTGTGCCTCAAAGCTGAGAACACAGAGGTGGTATCCAGTTCAGACCAAAGTGATGGGGATGAGGGCATTGGTTAAGGATGTCTGCTCAGGAGATGATGCCAGAACTGAGCTTTGAAAGCTTAGAATTGACCTATGGTTGCAGGGTCTTCCAAGAAAAAAAGCCTGCCTGCTCCAGGTTCCAGAGCCAGGAAGCAAAGGTGAAACTTCCGACTAAGGAGAGCTGGGGAAGATCAAAAGCGTGCAATGCTGATGGGTCTGGCTAGGTTAAAGCTTCTAAAGAGTTGCAGAAATAGTTTAACAGGCCCACTCTTAAAATAAAATGTCCTGCTTTTAATTAGCCATCCTTGTATTAAAAAGTGTAGGAAGGATTAGGCAGAGATGCAAGATAGTAGTAGACTCTTTGGATGACTGCAGGGATTGAGATCAAGTGGCTATGAGTGCACATGCCAACTGTTTAGAGAGGTGAGAGGCAAGTAATTACAGATAGAAGAAGAAAAGGAGGGAGGCAGAAATCAAGAGTATCTTCCCATGATCTGGACACAGTACCTTTGAACACAGAAACGATGAGCCGTTAAACCTCTCTTTATGAATTAGTTGCGCTTTACCAACATGAAGCTGACCAACACAACCTCAGTAGAGGGACATTTAAGAGGCTAAGAATAATTATCAATATTTAATGTCCTAAGTGGTGAAGAAATGGACAGTCCAAGGATAAATTACTTACAAGTAAATTCATGAGAACAATTGGGACAAACATGGTGAAGGCAATAAGTTGTCCAAAAGAAAGAATTGGATATGCCAATTTTTTTCTTAAGAACGGTTCTAGGAAGGAATCTCGATAATTGATGTCTCCTAGCATCATACTGAAGGTCTGGATTAAGGAAAGCAATGGAGAGCTGAAGGCATCCTGAGGACAGAGAAATAAACACAAAATAAAAAATGTATATGATGAAAACGTGTCCTGGAGAGTAAAATCATGAGCATTTTACCAAGAGTATTTTTTAAAATCAGTTACATAGCTATTGAGATGCAGTCATGAGAAATATTAATAAACTGCTAAGTCATCAAAAATGTTTTTAAGCACATATCACATTTTTGTGCTTTTACAAATTATTGATCATGGAAAAATTATCCTAGTAAAATTATACTTTTTCTACAATAAAATCATTTGATGATCTATCAGATAAAAATTGTTTGGTTAATGTTATAAATTTACTAGGGCATTGATATTTAAGTATAAATATATATTTCATAAATATATTGATAATGATTTCCCAATATGTTAATACTGATGAAGTCAGCTAGTAATGTAAATATCTCACTTGTAAATTCAGGAGCACATAAAAGCTGAGTCCAAAAGCCAAAAGAAGGAAGATGAACACCCCCGTCGATCTCAACAGCGTTTTAAATATCACCTCCAACATAACAATGAAAATTCCGCAATTCTCAAACCTAGAAAAGTAAAATGTATTAAAATATTTGCTCACTTGGAGGTCAAAGTGTGTTTCATTAGGTATTTTACATGTATTGTTCCAGGTAATAGATTTCATACATGCAATCACTAAAGCCAGTTATTTTGAAAAATAAAGAAATGCAAATTCATGAGTAACAAAGTCTTCCTTTCAAACTGTTCATCAAATTGCTTCTTTCTGTCTTGTTAATGTGATTTTTTCATCATATTTTCGATTCACCACTGGATAGTGATTTACCCAAAGTGGGAAAGAAAAATCATCACTTTCCAGTAACAAAGAAAACACCAGTTTTTATATAAATGAATTCAAGTCAGAAATTGTGTGACTTACAGAGACTGAGTAAATGAGCTTGCAAAAGTCCCCAGGATAGGGCCCAGAGTGCAGGCCTTACCCATCCTTAAGACCCACCTCCAGCAGCCTGCACTGTAAAATGCTTGGTTAGATAATCTGGCCTCTTTAAACAAGTTATAAGATGTAAAAAAAAAAAAAAAATCACTCCCTCATACATTGATAAATGTGTACATATATTATGTGTCAAACAGAAAACACAATTTTAGAAAAACACGAAAGGAACTTTAGCTACATTGCCCAAGAGACCCAGCAATGTAGAGAGATCACTGATAAGGATGAAGCAAAAGGAGCCCCACTTGCACATGCTTTCATTCAGGGCCACTGCTCTTCTCCCCAAACCACATCCTCCCTGAGGGGCCAAACTTCACTCTGTATTCCTGCACTCTTTACTGCAATTTAGATGAAACAGTGGGGGAAGTACATCCCTGTAGACACAATACTTCGGTCCAACCAGTGTTTTGATTTACCAGCTGAAATCTTCAATAAGTTGTCCTAATTCCGTGTTTCAGTTTCTTCTGTTACACAACGCAGGTCCTAACATTTAGTTCTTGCTATAACGACTGTAAAAAGTGTTTAGCTCAGCATTAACAATGGCAAGAATAACTTAGCCTAGTTGCCCTCTCTTGAATTAGCCTTTTTTGAGACAAGATCTCACTATGTAGCCCAGGTTGGCTTGAACTTTTGATCATCTCTGTCTCTGCCTCTCAAAGGACTATAGGCATGTGCCATATCACATAGCTTGAACTAGATTTTTTTATTGTCTTTCCTTATATTAATTAATTTTAGGTGTTTTAAGCAAACTAAATACTTATCAAATAATACCAGGTGAAATATGAATAGCCAACAATTTTCTTTCCATGTATGCCCACATTTAATCTAGCATTGTCTAGATCCAGACAGATTTGGCACTGAGGGGACATATGGCCCTGTCTGTAGACATTTTTGGTTGTCACACTGAAGATGGAGATCAGCTGCTGTGGGTACATGAGAGGGATGTTGTTAAATCCACAGCATGTTAAATGCACATGGCCACCCCTCCACACACTAACATATATAAAATGAATTAATTAGTCCTAAATTTCAAATTTCAGTAGCACACAAATTGACATATTGGACTGTCCACTGGACTCCAGAGCCCTGTACCTTCCAGGGTTAGACTATTGATGTATCTTCACATTTTAAAATGACTGGAAACAAGCAAAAAGTCAGATGTAAATTCATAAATTCATGTCACTTCTAATAGTTCTTCTTTATTGGGTGGGATTTTTCCCTGTGTTGTTCTTTTCTTAATCCTTTCACACTTTGTGGCATATTTAAAAATCTGTCTGTTGCAGAAAAAAAAAACCAGCATAGAACTGAGGAAAGCAGACCCCAATCTTAGCTGAAGAAATATTGGCAACTGATTACTGATTACTTGCACTGGGGAACATCTAGGGACACTGACTTGACACAGTGGGCCTTAACTCAGATGATAGAGTATATGGGTTCCAGTGGGGGGTCCTATGGGAGGGTGCTGGTGGGGACAGGGGTATAAAGATGATTAAGATCATTTGAGATGTTCTGTCTGTATGAAATACACAAAAATTCAATAAAAACAAATTTTTAAAAATCTGTTGCATGTTCTTTATTTTTTATCTTTATTGATTTTTTGGTGATTTATTTAAATATGTTTTAATAATATTTAGATCCCGTCCCATATCTGCACCCCTTTCTAATACCTCAAATTTCTGTATTCTGATACATATTAGAATATTCTCTCTCTCTCTCTCTCTCTCTCTCTCTCTTTCTCCCTCTCTCTCCATATATATAAGACTATAGTGCCTATAGTGCCAGGTTTGTGTCCCCAAATGCCCTTTGGTGTGGGTTCATCCACTGGGAAAGGGAGATTCATATTTGCTTGAGGATGAGACTCAACAGTTCTTTTGATACTAAAATGCTTAAAGGATGTGGAAATCACTCAAATTGGTCTCACCGTTGAAGATACAGTAGGAAGTTCATCCAGTAGAAGAATATTGATATGGCTCCACATTGCCACTGTACATGAGCTGGGATATTGAGAAACAAGGGCAGCACAAAGACGATACTCGTTGTGTAGATGATCCATTCCAGGGCATTGTTGTAATCCAGGAAATAATTCCTTTTCTGGAGAGAGGAGAATGAAGAGTTATAGCACATAAAGACCTGGTGTCTTATGGATTGTTATACATGCCTTTAGGACAAGATGTCACTCCTGCCATTCTTATTTGACTTATGGCTCCAGGGGTACAGATCAGTACGAGAGAATGGTTGAGTCTTTGGCTGGCCTGGTGCTATGGGAGTCTGATACCTAAGAAAATGCTACATACTTTTAGGCTTTTCCTGCAGAGGTCATGTTTCCTCTTAAGGAAACTGCTAAAAGATTGCAAACTGGTCTCATATTCCTGAGCTCTTTCTGCCTATAAGAACACACATGTAGTTGATCTGGATGCATGTGAACAAATCTGTAAGAGTTTGAGACTTAATCAGGAAGTGAAAACAAAGTATAGTGGTAGCTTGACTGAATGTTTTAGATATTAAATAGTCCATACTATAGAACATTTAACTATTAATCAGAAAAGAAGAAAAACTCTATCAGAAAATTCATGCAATTTTATTATTCATTCATTTAGACTATAATTTGTAGTAAATTTGTAATAAACAGGAAAATTAAGTAAAAAGATGAAAGAAACTAACAACAATCCAGCCTAACTCTCAGAGGTGTTACAATTTATTGAACAACAATATACAGTAAAGTATTTGTGATGTATCATAATACATGAATGCAAATTATTAACACAGATATCCATAGATTTATGTTATATAACAAAGAAAATTTTCAATAACTGTAATGTTATAAAAGATAGGACTTACAAAAATATTCAAAAACTACACAAAACCCCAAATTAGACTTTAAACCTGCACACTTAGAAATAATGGTTTTCTGCCATTTTCTAATCAAATCAAAGGTCATTGGATAATCTACATAATTAGGTCTAATCTGCTCATCCTATTAAAACTTAAGGAGCTGGGTGTGGTAGTGTATGCCTTTAATCCCAGGCAGGCAGACCTCTGTGAGGTTGACACCAGCCTGGTCTACATAGCAATTTCTGGGTCAGCTGGACTGACAGGAGACTGTCTCAAAAAACAAAAGGGGTTAAAGTACAAATATGCTATGAAAAATTTCCAAGCAAGTGTGGTTGCCCATGTCGATAATTCTAGCACTCTGGAGTTTGAAGCAAGAGGATAATGAATTCAAGGTCAGCCTCAGCCTCACCTATAGAGAAGGACTCCCACCTTGATTATTTCCAAATTTTATAATAACTTTGTACTTTAAAAAATTTTTTTTTTTTTAATTTTATGTGTATGAGTCAATTGCCTGCATGTATGTGAGTGTACCCATGTCATGCAGTACTGCAGAGGTCAGAAGAGCACATCAGATTCCCCTGGAACTGGAGTTAAGGACAGTTTGTAGCCAGCACGTGGGTGCTGGGAATTGAACCTGGGTCTTCTGCAAGAGCAGTCAATGCTCTTAATTGCTGAACTGTCTCTTCAGCCCCAACTTCGTACTTTTTTATTGATTTTTTTGTCTATATTTCATACAGAACATCCTAAACAATATTATTCATCTTTATACATGCATTCCAAATGGCACCCTCCCACAGTCTCACCTCCCCTCAACTAGAGCCCATATGTTCCACCATCCCTGTTACTGTCCACTCTTTTTGTTGTCAGTGCCTCCAGCCATTCCCCAGCACAAGTCCATCTGCTGAGTCTAGTCGGCCTATCTAGAGTCCCTTGTTTCTGGAAGGTCAGTTCTTCCTCACTAACAGCAAATCAGTTGTCAACATTCCTTTAGATAAGATTGGGGTCTGCTGTTCATTTCCCCTGTTCTATGCTGGGTTACTGTCTGGGAGTCTCTTGGGCCAGCCACCCTGGCCAACAACTCAAAGGAAGGTATTTCCTGTCTGGCATTGTTCTTCTTATGTAGCCTTTAGCTATACACATGGAATCTTAAAGAAATATACTGATCACTTTAATCTTTGGTTATACTTTCCTTTGAGGTATTTAATGCCATACAGTTGGCCCAAATAAACCAATTTATTTTTACTCTTGAGCTCCTTTGAGGTTCTGTTCCTCAAGGGTCACATGGGCTTGGGAGGAGCCGCTGGTTCCTTTCTTTTACCAGTTCCGCCTATGTGAAGATAAGTCAAAGGTCCTGCTCAACCGTGGCTGGCTTCACTTGGAAGCATGGAGGAAATGTCCCCTCTGTGTTGGCCCTCCTGTTTGTAGACTGGACACTGGTTCAAGTCTACCACGTTGGGTCTCCATGGCCTCCTTGATCAAGAGGACAGGTGACTCACCATAGTTACAGGACATTTTGAGAGATGCTCCATAGATAGTTCCTTGGAACTTAGTTGACCTTAGAGGGCAAGGATCCAAAACTGTCCTTGAAGTCCCTCTGAACAGATTAGTATAGGCCTCAAAGTATGGCTGTTAAACATCCAAGGTGGTTAGTTCCACCAGTCTTGTACTTTTAATTACCATGTGCAATGTATACAAAGCTTGGGCAAAAACCAAACATTCTCAGATAAACCTTGACTAGACATGTATTTTGTTCCTTGGATTAGTTGTATGTATAATCTGTCAGTAGGTTGTTGTACTAATATGGTTCCTTCTGTTTTTTTTTTAACTAGCTAGGCATTATTTATCTTTCTCATTGTCTCACCCTTCCACTATGGTTTCCCCATTTAAAGTGCCCCCATTTTTTCCAGTTTCTCCCTTAATAATACCCTTCTCCTATGGTTCTACCTCTCTTGAGCTCCTTCTTTCCCTTATCCCCAAGGTTCCTTGTTTAACCCTACCCCCCCATTTAAATAACGCCCCCCTTTTTTTGGTCTTTTTGAGACAAAGTCTCCCTGTAGCTCTAGTTGGCCTGGATTCACTATTGGGACCAGACTCGCCTTGAACTCACAGAGATCTGCCTGCCTCTGCCTCCCGAGTGCTGGGATTAAAAGCGTGCACCACCACGCCCGGCCAATAACCCCATATTTATCCATATCTCCCTTTGTAACACCTATTTCCTATTGTTCTTCTCTCTCAGGTTCTTTCTTTTAGCACCACATCCTTATAAGTGAGTATGTATCCAGACCTAACTTCAGGAACCAGGATAATGCAAAGGAACCAGGGAGGTAAAGGAAAAGAACTTTGTATTTTTTAATAAAGAAAAGCATTCCTATTAGGAGAAGAATTCAAAGATTGACCTCTTTGAAATGGGCTCTTGGTAAGTTCTTTATAGGTATTTATATTTCAAATTTCAAGTTGTGTTTACAGCAATAAAACCAAAAATCTACCATAAACAGAGTAGTTTAAATAGTACAAAAGCAAAACAGTAAAACATTCATAATGATAACTGTGGACAGACAGATCCACCTGAAACCCGCAATAGTGTGCTCCACTTACTCCTGTGCATCAGGCAGGCAATGACCGCATCTAAAACCATGTGACTTCTACATTTTGAAACATTGCATCAATGAAGATATGTGATTTTATCATGATAAATATTATTTTAAATAACCATTTCCCAATTAACTCATGCCTTATGTATTAAACCATTTACACCTTAGAGATACAGATTTACTATGTACCTGTTGGAAAATTTGGACCACTTCTTTGCAATATCCAAATATACTCGATAAAAAAACTAAAATCATGCATATTTTGATTGGAAATGAATCCTGAAACAAAAATTGTGAGACAAAGGAATTATGAAAGGCATAGGATTAGACATTTTATTTGCTTCATGATTTCCCACTAGTTATTTTATTTTTCTTCATTTTCATGCATTGTCCACATTTGAGTTAAACAGAATTTTACTGTCATGCCAATACTCATCTCATTTATTAGAGATGACACACACTTGCTTCTTTTTCTGTGTGTATGTTGTATGCCTGAGTGTATGCATGTACACCACATGAGTGCAGATGACTTCAGACAGCAGAAGAGAGTACTGGACCTCCTGAAACTGAAGTTACAGGCAGATGTAAGTCACCTGATATGGTCCTGGGACCTGAACCTGGGCCCTGCACAAGAGCAGCAAGTGCTCTTCACCACTGAGTTGTCTCTCCAGACCCAGTGTAGTCATTTCAACATTGGAAATTACAATGGAATACAAATCTGCAGACCTACATACATTTTTTTTAATTGTGGTAACGTATACACCATAAAACTTGGTACTTTAAATTTTTATTATTTGTCCATATATCTATCATCTATATATCTATCTATCATCTATCATCTACCTATCAATCATCTATCATCTGTCTATCATCTATCTGTCTGTCTATCTATCTATCTATCTATCTATCTATCTATCTATCTATCATCTATCTGTCATCTATTTATTTGTGTTTGCATGTTGCATGCCATGGCATGCAGGTAGAAGTCAAAGCACAGCTTATAGGAGCTAGTTCTTTCCTTCCATCATGTGACTCTTGGGAATTGAGCTCAGGTCCTCAGGTTCTGAGGCAGGGCCGGTGCTTTTAACCACTAAGCAATCTCACTGCCCTCCCAAATTTGCCACTTTAAAAGCTCTACATCTTACCTATGCATTTATGTTATAAAATGCATGGTTTCATGACATAAGCAGTCATGATATTACCTCACCATCACTACTATCTAGCTCCAAAGCTTTTCCATCTCTCACAGAGAAATCCCATGCTCACTAAGTATCTCTCCCCATTTCCCTTTCCCCGAAGTCCCTAGCAACTGCAAATCAATATTATTTCAACATTCAAGCTAATAGCTCATACATTCCTTTGCATTCTCATTTATTGACCTATTTACTAACATTTATTCTTATTCCATTCAAGATTTTAGAAGAAATGCATCATATATAAGCTCTAGAGGTATTTCACAATGATCAAAGTCAGATTTATTATAGGCTTGTTCTCTGTAAGGAAAAAATATCATTTTTACAATCCTTTATTTTACTTTTGAAAATTTGATATTTAAAAATACCGTAGTGTCTACTACCTCCAGTTGATCACTAGTTTCACTGATTATTCCTGTTGAGTTGAAAGCCATCCCTGGCTTTATATTAACCACAAGAAGTGTCATTGGAATGAGACCAAGACAGTAAGATCCTAGGTTCATCATATGGGCTCTGAATCCATAGGCACACCTACAAAAAATGAGCAAACCACAATTGAGTCATTCCAAGAAAAATATTAAGATATTTACAGGAAAAGCTGTCACAATCACTTTCAGAAATCTACTTTATAAATTCAATGACTTTTGGAGCTAAAAGTAATTTTAATTTATTTTTTAAAAATATTTGTCTATTATTCTTATTTTTCATATGTATACTGTCTAAATGTATGTGAGTGCACCCATGTCATGCAATGCCCACAGAGGTCCAAAGAGGGCATCACGTACCCTGGAACTGGCGTTATGGAAGGTTGTTAGCCATGTGGGTCCAGAACCCAGGTCTTCTGGAAGAATGGCCAGTGCTCTTAATCACAGGATTATCTCTCCACCCCCCTAATTTACTTTCTTCATTCTCAGAGACAGAATCTCAGCTTCTAAGCAAATGACCAAGTTACTTCTATGTCTCACCAATTCATGGAAAACAGAGTGTTGAGTTCATGTGTCCTAGCTGCAAACTGAGACTTTCCCACAACATCCCTTCTACCTCATTGCCTCCTAAACTTCATGACCCAGTCTGATGGTTTGTGCCTCAGACAACGATTTCCTCTGACCCCTCACACACTTCAAATTTATTGTCAGAAACAGATGATGCCAAAGATTTTCAACAAAATTTGCCTTCAATGTTTATTTTTCTTAAAGCCTAAAACATACTAAAATCTAAAACATTAAAATACCACTACACCATAATTGTTCAGAAAGCTTTTGATAGATTTAATGGCAATCTCACTTTACGTAAAATGACACTCAAGACCCACCATTTCATAAGTAAGTATTCTTTACACACAGGGTGGTTGAGAAGCTCTACGCGGTTGTGTTGTACCATGACCTGAAAATAAGGGAATAGCAATGAAAACACAACTGTATTAAACAACTGAGTATGAACCAAGACTTTCACTTTCTGAGTTATAACTTTATTATGATATTACAGATGCAGAATTTGCATATTTTAGAAATGTCTCGAAGGCAAGAATCACAAGTAAAACAACATACGAGAGAGCATCATTTTTATAAAGGCGTGAATCATTGATTTAGTCTGTCTTCTATCTCTGCCTCAGTGATATGGCATAAAAATTTTAATCTTATATAAGGTTACAGCAGAAGTAGACTCTAAAGGTAAATTGATAAGGATTTTCTTTTATCCTCATTCTGTCCTTGAAGAAATTCAGCTTTATCTTTCTAAAAGGGAGCTAGTCTGCTGGGCATGGTGGCATGCACGTTTAATGTCAGTCTCAGGAGGCAGAGGCAGGTGGATCTCTGTGAACTCGAGGCCACCCTGGTTCACATCAAGACTTTCAGGTGGGCTGTGACTAGGGAGACCCTGTCAAAAAAACAAAACAAAACAAAACACCAACAAAAATCAGTAGTCTAAAAAAGTAGTTAAAATAATGTGTAGATGGAAATCTTTCATGAGTGTTATTAGTATTTATTTCAAATCACATTTTAATTACTAAAGAAATATAGAGGAAATAATAACAGGGAGGGGTCAAGAAAACTCCCCAGGTCCTCTTTCCTTCACAGAAACAGTGATAGAATCATAACACAGGCCATTACCTTGGTGAGCAACACAGACCCAGATTAGGAGGCTCCTGCTCCCCAGAACAGGTAGCCTAGAGAGACCACCATAATAACAGGAGGGAAATTCATTGCTGTGGTCTCTGTATGCACAGCAAACAATTTGGGAGAAAACTCCCAACTCCTGGTATCTTCCTGAAGGAAGAGAAAGGTCGAGAGCACATGTACTGTTTTAATTTGGGAAAGAGAGGCTGATTAAGAAATAATTTCTACTTTGCCTGAATCTAAACCTGATAGAACCAAGCACCAACAGAAACTAAAGGAGAACAAAATTTGCTTTTTTTGTTTTTTGTTCATATAGTTACGCACGTGTTGTTTTATTTTGTTACCTCTGTTGACTTATAATGTATGTATAGTAAAATTCTAATATTTTTAGACAGTTTGATGCATTTTGATAGTAGCAGACAGTCATGAAGTCATCAATAACTAAAATTCTTTTCCATGAGATGGTGTGGCCTGAGTTGGGTATGATGGTGTGTTCCTGTAGTCCCAGAACAGGGAAGGCAGATGCAGAATGATCATGAATAAGAGGCCAGTGCATAATATACAGAGACTTCTACACAAGTCTAGATTATGAGAACAAGATATTAATAGATCTTCAGCTAACACCAAAGGAGTTGCAATACTGCAGACAGAATATAGGAGTGTTGTATTGTACTTGCTAGAGACAGGAGGCTGCAGTCCCACAGACACACACTAGGAGGAGGCCTTGAGTAGAGACAGGTGAGCTTCCTCGAGTACCTAGATTACATAAAACCCAGGGCAACTGAATCCTTAGAAAAGCCAAAAGTAAAAACCTAAAGTCTGTACTTATGGACATTGAACTACAAAACTGGAATTCTCTCCAGCTTCCTTACATGTCATCGACCATGTTATCTCCGAACAATTCAGAACCCAGGTGAAATCGAACAAGTTAATTCAAACACTGGACTTACATTGAGCATTGTAAGAGGCTCATACGTCACATCCTGGGTAGGTGTTAATTTTTTGGTTAATGTTAACGGGCACTGAAGATATTTGAAATTATACTCAATCTGTAAAAGACATAAATTTAAGATATTAGTCTACTAAAGGCTCCAAAATACTTCTTGAGGAATCAAATGTGCGAGCCTACAATTTTGTGAAAATTAACTGACACAACAATGAATCATTGCATTAGCGAAAAGCAAATTAAGTTCTTACATATGAATTACAAAAAATATTCTGGAAAGCTATTATTCTATTGCTTCATAACCAGTAGCAATGAAAAAAAAGAGACTTCTATATTTTAGACCCTGTCTATATAAATGATTTGAATCACCCCAAATATGGTGACCTAGATTCATAATCCTGAAGGAAAAAGTGACTACTTTCCCAGGCTGTTCCTTTGGAGCCAGGATAGACTGAATGTAACTCCATATATGCATGCAGGAACTCCTGGGACAACTGGTCAACCATACCAATGGGCCATGAAGAATATTTTAGACCTTCACTCTGCCTAAAAAATTACCTAAGAAAATATCTAAACACTTGAAATAATATTAAATGATGGTGTTAGAAAGAGCTAAATATTTGGGGAAACAGGCTATAAGAACATTCACTCATAAATCAATATTGCAGCATTATGATAATTGAAGCCAGCACTCACCATCTATTAGAGACTGTGGAGCTACAGAAGCACCACTTTTCATATTCTCGAGGAATTTTGATAAAATGCCCATCATATTATAGTAATAAAATAAGCTTACGTGGTAGTCTTGACAGGACTTGTCCTCTGTGGAAGGTATCATGCAGAAATCTAAAAGAACCTTTGAAAGGGGAAAACCAGCTGAGATATGGGAGCAGCAGCCTAGACATGAGAAAGGACTTTATCCCATGTCTAAAACAATATACAAGCGATTCACTTTCTTTATTTCGCTTCTTACACTTTCTCCAGGAAGAATGGAGTTTCTCCTAATAGCACAGCACTTCTGCACCAGTAGAGGCCAAGGGAAATAAATTCTATTAACTCACCTGTCATTAATACAATCTTTCTAGTTTACATGCTCATCTGCAGTGCAGGAGCCTTCTAATTGGTTCTTGCATTGTTCACCAAAGCATAAAACATTATCTTCATGGTTTGAATGGACACATATTTTGAAAAATATCCTTTTAGTACAAGGAAAGTGATTTCATATGGCAATACATAACTGCTACCACTTAACATTAGAACTGAATATGCAAAAGGAAGAGATGGGGTATGCTATGATGGGGAGCCTTCCCCACACAGAAGCAGATGGTGCCCAGCCCAGTGATCCCTACTGTATGAGAAGGCAGTCCCAAATGTTCAGGTTTTCATGGGAAGCCAGGAATCTGTACCCTTAAATTAAGCATCGTAGGTGCAAATGTTAGAAACAAATGCAAATATGAAGTAGTAAAAACATGCAGGCAAAGCAAAACAAGTATAGAATTTTTATTCAGCCTAGAGCCACCACTATGTAGTCGCTGACCCAAACTCAGATTATTTGGAGGAAAGAAATGTTTAGTAACTTTTTCTGCTACATACAATAACTGGTATGATTCCTTAGTCTAAGTAGGTCCTCTTTAACTATTTGTTGGCTATTTTTCCTCGCAGCCTTTGCAAACTAGAAATTGTAAAGATAGAAACTACTATTATTAGCTTGCTTGTGATTATAATAAGTCCTCTTATCATATAATATGTCAGGCATATAAAGACTTTGTTTTAAGGATCTTACTTTCATGCACTCAGGAAGGTATTCTATCATTTCCATGATTGGGCATCTATTGCTTGGCGATAAATGAGTAAAAACCTGAAGGCATTCATCCCATCTGTAAATAATAGATGAGAAACACAAACATCAATCCTTTATGTATTATCATTGAAACTGAAGATTATGTATTTTTAAGTAGAAACCTAAATTTATACTTGAAGTGTCATGTTTGCCCAGTGGTTACTGTGGAACCACGTGAACCATGATCTGTCTATTAGTAGAATTCTTATCCTTTAATGGGGATTAGGAATGTTGGTGAATCTAGAATGGATGCTATAATCACTGTTCTGTCTCTTACTCTAATTGCTTTCTGAAGAAGGAAGGTCTTTGCTTCTTTTCCACCTGATATTATTAAATGGTAGGTACTCTCAGAGATGACTCTGTTAGGTAGAAATTCACATTCACATACATATATCAACAACTTAGTATTAGGTCATATTTAGCTCACATGTGTATGTACATGTAATATATACACACATATATAAACTGAAAAACAGCACATGTAGGATACAGTAATAAGTATAGATCCTGCCATAACATATAGAATTTCCTGGTTTCTTCCACACCATCCAGAGAGATGGGATAGAATAAGAAGGGGCTTAATGATTACAAGAAGAAATTAAATCTATAACAAGAAGCAAGGATGAACCCATTTATTGCTAAGATCCTATGAGTCTGACTCTTTTAATAACCAGACAAAATTTTTATGAGTAAACTCCATTTGGAACATTTGCATTATCATCAGAAAATGCTGGCCACACACATTCAATAACTGGTACTTCAAAGGAAACAGGAATTTCTCAAGACTTCCAGTATACCAAACCAAGGCTAGATCTATACTGAATATGAATGTTGCTCACCTTTGTGCCCCCCACCAGGTAACAAAGGGATCTTCTTCATATTTATGCATGCTGATATAGAAAGGATTTGTTCAAGGTGTGGGAAAAATTACCATCTAACTTCATCATCCAAATCCCTTAGAGTATGGCTTAAAAATATACGACTGATTTTTCATCTTTTTACTCTAAGGTGGTATCTATCTTTGATTATGTGGTGTGTTTTTTTGGAGACAGCAAAAAGATGGGTTATGCTTTCTAACCCAGGTTGTATCTGTCTCCCTTTATTGAGGAATTGGGATTATTAATATTAAGCATTATTATTGAAAAATGTATTTTTTCCTGTCATTTTTTTTAATTTTTGTGGTACTTTCTTAGATCTCTTTTGAAATGAACTGTGCAGGAATTGTTTATTTATTTTTGGTGGCCTCTTGAGTATGTTTATATTTATCTTTAGATCAAAGTATTCTTTCCAGTATCCTCTGAAGAACTGGCTTTATTGTAAGTGGGCTGTGTGTGTGTGTGTGTGTGTGTGTGTGTGTGTCTGTGTGTGTGCTGGAACATGTGTCATGTCACAAATGTGAAAGTCAGAGGTCAACTTGTGGGAGTCATTTCTCTTCTTCCACCATGTGGGTTCTGGGGATCAAACTCAGGTCATCAGGTTTGGTGGCAAGCCCCTTTATTTGCTGAATCATCTCACCAACTCTAGGCAAATGTTCAGTATCCAGTTTGGGAATCTGTATTGGAAAAAATGTGTCAGGCAAGTCCAGGAAGGGAGGACAAAGCTTGCTTGATGGTGACCTTGGTACCATATGTCATATGTGCCTGGACCCTCAAGTCTCAGAAAAGGGCTAACCAGGTGGTATTAAGCTGAGAAGTTTAATTGTTTAGAAATGAAGACTGAGGCTGAAGCAATGATCCTGTTGTCAGCAATGTTGCTTAAAAGGTTGATTCAAAATCCTGTAAACAACTCGCACTTCAATATGTTGATTAAAAGTTAAAACATGCTGGATGTAGTGGTGCACACCCATAATCCCAGCACCTTGAATTCAATGCCAATCTTATCTATACAGCAGGTTCAGGGCAGCCATGGTTATATAGGATGACCCTGTCTCAAAACTAAAAACAAGAGGCTAAAACATGTTCTTTTCCTCTTGTTAGTTGTCAGACTAGGAGTTCACCCTGACACCAGAGGATGCTGAGTTACAGTGGGAAGAGGAAGACATGTACCTTTTGCTCCTGATAGTCGTGAGAACCACCTCCTTCCTCTTATTGTGCAGTGCAATATGTAGAAAGGAGGCCTGCTGCTTGTTCAGGAGGATTTCAGCGTTGTAGTTCAGAAGTAGTGCCACAGCCTTGGCATGGCCTTCCCGGGCCGCAAAGTGGAGTGCTGTATTCTTTCAGAAAAATAGTGCAGGGATAGTGGGGTGAGAGTTGTAAGCACTGAGAGTTGTGGTCATTTTGTTTCCATATTTTATTGGTGAATAAAATAAAAGGCATGATCAACAAAGCTGACTATTTAATACCAAAATACATAAATCTAAACTCAATATTCACAATGTAGCTTTGAAACAATGGGTTTATCATTCAAATGCCCTATATGTGTATATGTGACGAAGAGAGTGTGAGTGTGTGTGTGTGTGTGTGTGTGTGTGTGTGTGAGTTTCATGGGCTTTGTTCTATGGTAAGATGATCCCACAAAGACAACAACAAAGCTTTTAGGATATGGATGCTACAGTAAGCATAGGATATATCCCTGGGGAATTAACATCTGTTAGAAGTGTGGTTTCTATGCTTGGAGTTCTACAAGTACGACAGGAAGTCAGAGAGTGTTAAGTGTTATAAGATTGTCAGTTTGTCACTTGCCATATAAAGTTATCTTTAAAAACTAGAAAAAAAATCAAGCACATTCTATCTCTAGCACTGAATGAGGAAATGTACATTTCAACATTGAACAAACAAGAAGAAAGGACGGTTTTTAACTATCAAGTTGACACAATGCAAAAGAAAGATTCAACTGAAAAACTGTCTACATAAGTTTGGCCTGCCATATCCATGGGGTATTGTGGTGGTTGGTGTTTGATGTAGGAAGACAATGCCCATTGTGGGAGGCACCATTCCCTATACAGGTAGGTCCTGAACTAGACAAGCCAGGAAAGAGCTAGGTGAGAACAAGGAAGCAAGGATCCATACATTTCTCTCTGCTCTGACTGTACATGGATAGGACTAGATGCTTGAGTTCCTGCTTTGACTTCCCCTCAATGCTGAACAGTAACCTGGAATTGTAATACAAATCAGCCTTTTCCTTCCTAACTTGCTTGTTTTCAGGCTCTTTTATCATAGCAACAGTCATAAAACTAGAACAGAACTTGTGACCAGAGAAGTCAAGTTGTTGGAGTGACAAATCTAAACAAGTGGTTTTTTTTTTTTTTTTGTCTTTTTGAGACAAGGTCTCCCTGTAGCCCCAGCTGTCCTGGAACTCACTATGTAGACCAGGCTGGCCTTGAACTCCCAGAGATCCACCTGCCTCTGCCTCCCGAGTGCTGGGATTAACAAGTATCTTTTAATTGCTTTGTTGGAGGATTGGAGAACATTTGGGAACTTTGAGCTAATAAAATTCATCGAGGGCTCAGAGCTCAAAGAACAGTTCTTGTGGGAGTTTAGGAGACAAAAATGCCAAAAATAACAGAGTGGAAGCCCAGACCATGTTTTAGAGAGGAACACTTTGTAGTTAGCAGGGATAAAGGCCATTTGTGTGACACTCTGGCTAAGAATTTATGCTGATCATGCTGGGGCTGAAGAAGCAGCTGTTTGTCAAAGAGATCAGCACCACTGGAGCCAAGTCTTTTGCACTTCACTGGACAGTAGGATATGCTGACTACGAATCTGTATTTGCTGGTCTGTCTGAGGCTGAAAAATCAGCTATAATTAATTACTGCTTAGTTCTACTGAAGCAAAATTTTATGTGGTTCATTGAGACAATAGGAAATATTTCTTCAGGGTCAGCACACAGAAGTTGATGGTCCATGGGGGCCATAGTCCAAGGGGGCCAGGCAACATCTCATGAGAAATTGGCAATAAAATATTTCCCAACTAGTACTTATTTTGAAGACATAAAAGATGCAAGATTAAGAGAGTCATGGACAGAGGCTAAGGCTCAGCACTTTGTGACAAGGTCAGAGTTCCCATAGAGAGGTCCTAAGAGACCATTACTGAAGGTAAAATCTCTCTTGTAATAGAGACATACCAGGACTCTGGGACATCCACCAAGAACAGCTGTAGGTACATAGTAGAGCAAGCCCAGGCCTAACAGCAAAGGTATACGTTCTGCAGATAGCAGAGCTGGAGAAGTGGGGCTTCCCAAGCCCCTTGGAACACCAAAGACTATAAGCCTCAGATGTCAGACACTGAGCTGTTAAAAGATTTGATTTATATTGCTGGATTTTGGTTCTTCTTAAGTGTGATTGTTCATTTGCCATGCTCCAGCTTTTCACTTTTCAAATAAGAAAGGTTAAGTAAGTAACCTGGTTTTTTGTTTGTTTGTTTTAACTTTATAGTTAAAGTTAAAGTGCAGTCAAGAGACTGCACTTTCAAAGAGACTTTGAAATTTTTAAGGGTTGGAATTTTTAAAGATTTAGGATTTTTAAAGTTGGATTATATTTTATATTACACTATTAACACTAGACCTTGGGAACAAGTGATGGAGGGTTATGGCTTAAAAGTGGAATGTGTATTAATGTCAAGTTGACAAGGGATGGGTTATGATGATTTTGACTGTCAACTTGACACAATTTATGGTCACCTGGGAGGAGTGCTTCAATTAAGGAATTGTCTAGAACATGTTGGCCTGTTGGTATATCTGTGGGGGACTGATCATGAATTGACCCAGCCCACTACGAGCTAAAAGAAGTTAGCTGAATAGAGAATAGGTAGCAAGGATGTGTTTATTTTGTTCTGCTCTTGACTGGTGACTAACTGCTTTGAGTTCCTGCCTTGACTTCCCCTCAGTGATGAACTGTAACCTGGAGTTGCAAGGCAAGAAAACCCCTTCCTCCCTAAACCTGCCTGTTGTCAAGATGTTTGATCACAGTAACAGAAATGAAATGGGAATAACCCAGTGAAGAAACTCAAGTCAGTCCTTCCAAATCACTACACTTTAAAGCTAGATTCCTGGCTTTATGAACACTGAGCTCTCTTAATTTTTGTAGGTTCACTAGGGAGAGGTGAAAAATTCCTGGTGAAATCACAATGAGCCAGGTCTCTGTAACTATGGGAAGTGGCTTCAGTTTGCACACATCATTAATATTCTCCAATTCCTAGTCCCCCTTTACTTATACCTTACTCCAAGAGTCCACTTACTAAAACTTCAACTAAACCCTGAGAGCAGAGCAAGGAAAGGGAAGAGAGTCATGAAGGAGGCTTTCTTGAAATTTTGGAAACTTGTTCTATGTCAGGATTTAGAGTCGGCAAGAGGAATAAACCACCTACCCCTTCTTCATCTAGCCGATCTGTGCACTTCAAGTTAGTGTTAAGAATGACCTTCATGGTCAGAGTGTATCCACCCATGGATGCATGATGCAAAGCAGTCCAGCCATTGTGGTCACTGTTAAAGAAGTAAGAATTGGCATGCACACATAGTTACAGATCAAACAAGGGAGATGATACCACTAAGCTCATTGTAGCTTTAGTTGATGACAAAATAATCATGAGATCTAGCAACTCAATATTCAGTACATATTTATAATATACAAGGCAGCTTCCAACATAGCAGTCTTAAATGATTTACCTGAAATGTAATTTTCATGAATATTTTGGTTAATGGATTAAGTATAAAGGATACAAGCTATTATTAAACACTTTAGGGAGGGGGGAACTATAGTTACCATGTCTATGTTATGCATATTATTTTTGAAAACTGTATTTGTAAGTACCCTTTTTGATTTTTTTCATTGAACATTATACTAGAAAAGGTTCCATAATAGTTGCATTGTTTTCACAACAGTTAGTACAGCTAATGATGATAATGCAGTACATGATTCTAAGATACCTAGTGTCACATTTCTAAGCATTCGGGCCTATAGTGTCTTGTATTATCACAGAATTTCCAGAAATTCAAGATGCAAATACAGAGAAAGATGGCCATATTAATAATACTTTACCAAGTAAGATACAGGAAAAAAATTACACAAGTTAATTTTGGGTAGTAATACGTAATTGTTTTAGGGTCTAGAACCACCTTGCTATTTCAGTTATGATGTAATTAAGCACCAAATGCCAACTTGCATCCACTTGGGTCCCTTTTGCAGGTCTGGTGCTCTGTGTCTCTTGGGAGCAGGAGGAGATTAGCAAAGCAGGAGGAGATTAGCAAAGCACTCAGTTTAAAGATATGTCACTCATGTAATGATATTGGTATTCCCATGAAGAAATAGGCTTATGCATATGCACTTAAAGATCTATTTGCTATTTGTCATTTTAGTGAAGCTAGAAAATGCCTCATTCTACCTCTACAAATATTTCCGTATCCAGAAATTGTCTAGTTTTCTTTACTTTTTATAAAGGCACCACTCTGTTATGTCCTATAATTTATAGAGCAACATATTTTAACTTGATTTTGTTCTTCATGTCAAATTCCCTTTATAACAGAATTCAGTTCATTTTAATTGACTCCTGTGGCTACTTTTTGTATTCATCATGTACTAGATTGAATGAAAAGTCCTTTGAGCTTTGTTTGTGTTTGTATCTGTGCATACGTACACATACATGCACTCACACACACAGTTCTGCATCTGCATAGAAGATGGAAGAATGATAAAGTATGAGAAAATATATCTCAAAGGTTCTTGATACCTTCCCAGAGCTACTGTGGCAACAAAGTCTTCAGTCTATAAATTTTAGCCTCCATTTGTCAATTGGGAATTATATTGCTTAGGAATGATTTTTACAATATGGTCATAATCTGGATTAAAGATTTTTACCTAATCTTGAAACTAAAATATAACTGTTTAAGATATAAACAAGCCCACCAAGCCATATATTACTCTTATAACCCAGGCATTTGACCTTCATCCCTCAAGACCACTCCTTACTCTCTACCCAAAATAGTATATGAATGCATGTATGAATGATTTACATATCAAAGTACTGAAAGCAGTATGCTTATCTCATTGAAAGCAATGAGAAAATTTGAGAAGACTCATTGCATCTGTGTGTGTGAGATATTCTAGGCCTAGGGATCAAAGGGCAAGATTTTCTAATAAGACAAGGGTGGGTCTTGACTTTTACTTCCCAATATCTTGCTGAGGGACTGTTTCAATAAAGAATGAGCAAAACCCTTGCTGGGGAACACAGATCTGAAAGACATCGGAGGAACAGGTATTTTGCAATTTGGGTCTGCTCTTGGCTTTATGAATGCTAAGAATCAGGGAGTTTTTGTTTAAGCATCACCAAGGTGTGGCTTAGAAACACTGTAATATCGAATTCATTTTTAGCATTTGAGAACTTGTATATGTTTTGAAGAGTAACTGAAATGAATGGAAGTATCATTTATTGACAAGTACTAGAAAGGCAGCCGAAAATCACTAACTTAAGGATATAAAAAACTCTGAATATGTATCTCACCTGAGAAATAATGCCCCTTTCTTCAGAAGAAGTTGAACAACTTTATCATGTCCATTTTTTGCTGCCAGGTGAAGAGGAGTCATTCCATGGAGATCCCCTTCATTCAAAAGCCTCGTGTCACTTATGTCTTGTAGGAGCCTCTGACAAGTGTTGATGCGCCCATAACTTGAAAACATCAGGTTTACATGTGTAAAATAAATATAAAACAAAAAACTGCATGCTCATATATTTGGAGACTGAACCTTACCAGGCTGCAAAATGCAGAGGCGATTTCTTATCTTTGCTTTTGGAATGAATTGACACATTGAACCCAAGGAGGTTATTTACAGAAACAGGGACACCCTGTTTGCATGCATAGTGGAGAGGTGTGCACCCATCATTGTCTTCATCCATTACCAGTTCCTTAATATGCTGCATCTGTGGAAAAAGGAGTATTTTAATAATAACTCTGTCATTATGCTTATATGATAGTTTTCAAACCATTTTATGGCACAGCATTTTCCCAACAAGGGCCAATCTATTTCTTGAAGATAGTCTTACAAACAATCGACCTAAAGGCAGCTAGAGTAAAACAAATATGGATGAAGTTCCATACTTTGTCTCTCTATCATGTCATATGAAGGCTCTGGGAGATCATGCAAATAGGAAAAGAACTTAACCCAGCATTTTCTAAACATTTTTGACCAAGCTCTCCAATATGTCTCTCCCTTCATTGTTTCCACAAATAACATTTGAAGAGCCTAAGGTGTTCTGTTAGGCAAAATGGATATAGGTTTTGAAATTAGATTTACTTGCAGGGTTTGGTAGCACACATCTTTAATCCCAGCACTTGAGAGGCAGAGGCAGACTCATCTCTGTACGTTTGAGGCTAGTCTGGTCTGTATAGTAAGTACCAGGAGTACCAGGACAGCCAGAGCTACACAGTAAGAACCTGACTCAAAAAATTATACTGACCTTATCTTTTATAAGTACATTAACAAAAACATGAAAGAAAAATGTGCAAATTAATCCAACTAATAAATATTTTGATTCTTTATTAAAGACAGAAGCCACAAAAGTTTATTCTAAAAAATATGATGTACTTCACATGTGTCTCATCATCACTCAATAACTGTTAGCTGATTCATATGAATATGAAGATAATGCTTTTAACCTGTCATCTATGAGTTGTGTGTTGAGCAGTTTCTCTTAATTAATAGTGGAGCATTATTAGTTCACCCATATACTTGACTTTCCCATTAACTGACAGGCAATTCACAGAAGTGAGAGTGAAGGAATTATGACTAATTATGAACCCTTACTACAGATGAGAGCCTATGGAAATCCTCTGTAACTTCAAAACTCAGTTTCAGTGTAATTATCATCATCATCTTCTTCTTCACTATCATAATTGAAATACAGCATCTTCTTTTTAAAACTTTTAATTATTTTTATTTTATGTGTACGAGTGTATTGCCTGCATGTATGTAGATGCACCTGAGTCATACAATGCTAGGGGAGGTCAGAAGATACATCAGATTCCCTGGAGCTAGTGTTACAAATGGCTGTTAGCCTCCATGTGGATGCTAGAAATCAAACCAGGGTCCTCTGCAAGAGCAGACAGTGCTCGTAAGCGCTGCGCCATCTTTCCAGTCTTATTTTAAAACTTTTTGAAATCTTAGAATTATCTCTCATAAATTAAAATGATAAAAATTAAAGCTAATTTACTCTTCCTTGAGCACAATGCAGCTTATAAACATTCATAGACATACAGTACCTGCATAAATTCAGGTTGCAAATTTTTTAGTCCATAAGGTTGCTGTACAGTCAAATGTAAAAAATTACGCCCCAGATGATCTTTTATGTCTACTTTGGCACCTGAAAAGAAGCACAGTGTAAACACAAAATCATCTATGTATTACAGTATAAGGTTTGATAGATAGATTTTCAACTTAATGAAAGATTTTGATTGAAAACTCGTTCCCAGCCTGTAACTCAAAGGCAACTATACTTAGATGGGAAAACTGAAGATATTTTTAAAATGGGTTTATTTACTGTGTGTTTGTGCATATATGTGAGTGTGAAGGGATAGGAAATATATGATAGCTTACATTAATATATAAAGCCTGAAATTTTAATAAAATACTAATATAGAGTAAATACTAATACTAATTTAGAGTAATAAAGAAGGAAGTGATATGCAATCTCTTCTGTTTCCACAGCACCAGGGATGGGATGGGACAGTGATGGAATGGGACAGGGATGGGATGGGACCATGTAAGACTGTCTTACTGACAGAAAGCTCCAGACTGTCCAGCAAATGTCTGCTGTATAAAAACTGCCTTACAAACATTGCATATTATTGTTATGACATTCTTTTAAATATCCTTTTCTGGACTGAATATCATTCTAGATTTGGAAAGCGTATATTCACTGTAGGTGTCCCAGTGCCCGGCACAAGACAGATGGTGAAAAAACACTTATCTAATGAAATTTGCATGCTTCTGATTGGTACCTTTAGAGAGCAGCAAATTTACAGTATTCCAAGATGCAGAAGCAGTTGCTAATATAAGTGGAGAGCGGCCTTCAGAATCAGTGCTGTTGATATCTGCTCCCTAAAACAAAGAAAGTCATTCAATAAAGAGTTTCCAAGGACATGAATCAGCAGCTTGTACTGCTAGTGTCCATATTACACCAGCATGCAATCATGTGACTAAACAGAATTACATGAAATTTCTCTAGATCCATGTAATTAAGAGAACCTTTCATAATTTCATAAATGAAAGTATTTCCCATTGTTAGACTTCCAATGAACACTTTTAATAAATCAATTACTACATGAGCACTCTTACCTAAAATAGGATTTCAGTTTCCACTGCAAGAAATCACTTTTAAATTTTTCTAATTTTGAAAAACTTCCAAATTTATTTCTGTGTAATTTTAAAGCATTAACAAGAAACCATCCACTTACAAATACCTTCTCCAACTGAAACAAATAGACTGAGATAACTGAATTGAAATTATGAAGGTCAGATTTCAGGCAAACATTTATGTGTGAAAAATTGCATTTAAAAATCACTTTTATGACTTTTCTGTTACGGTAATATATTCCATTTGGCAAAAAGAAAAGGCCTTAGGAATTTTCAAAGGGTGAATCCTCTGCTTTGGACAAAGGAGCAAAAACAGCATAAGCTCTGAATCAAGCATTTCCCGTTTAAGTGATTTTCAAGAAATTACACATGGCACAAAACTGTGGCATCAAATGAGGCTCTCCAGAATTAGTCTGTGCAAATACCACAACTTCAAAAGTTACTAGTGGCAATAGGAAGTGTTAGATACTATCAGTAGAGACTCATTGGTTGACCATATTACGGAGATTAAATAAACCCATGTATAGGTATATGAAAATATTCATCAAAAACCTTAACATGGGGATGGAGAGATGGCTCAGCAGTTAAGAGCACTGGCTGCTCTTGCAAAGGACCCAGGTTTGATTCCCAACACCCACATGGTTGCTAACAGCCATCCATTACTCCAGTTAAAGTGGAATCTGATGCCCCCTTCTGATCTCTGCAGGTACTGCATAGCATGAATGCACTACATGCATGTAGGCAATGCACTCATACACATTTAAAAAAATTTTAAAGCCTGGATATATATGATAGAATGCATGGAATCCAGTCAAGGGGGATACATGGGGGGGTTACAGATTGGGGAGGAGGTCTAAATTTGATCAAGATGTATTGTATGAGATACACACACACACACACACACACACACACACACACACACAAAAGGCTGACTGAGTCCAGAGTGAGAAAGATTCCATGCTTTCATTGGCAGTAAATCTTCAACAATATTTTTTAACTTCCTTGTTTATCATGGTTTGGAAGCTGGTGCTGAGGCAGTGGGACCAAAAGCTTATGCTGGAAGATGAAGGTGATATGGGTGGCCTGCTTTGCATTCTCCTCAATACTGGTGAAGGATCAGCAGACTTGCCTACTCCCAAAACTCCCAAGAGGACCCATTCATAGGCCATCAAAAGCACTTTCCTTGCAGTGGACTCATAAACACTAAGCACAAAAATATTGATAATTATGGACATCAAAATGTACACTTTCATTTTTCTAACTTCACGGTTGTGAAGCCTAGCCATTGTGTATCCATATGAAATGACTTTGTTGCATTTGTGCCCATCAAACTTCTGGAAATTTGGCTGCCAAACAACTGCTGAAAAATTTCTTTTGTACTTTCTTTTTTTCAAACCCTTAACTCACCACCTCCCAAATTTTTGTATAAATTATAATTAATGAAGAAAAATTCTTATGGCAATAATTTAAAATAGCATTTCAAAAACTATATTTTACTTGTTTGAATTTAAGATGAGAAATATAATAATTTTAAATTAAAAATATTTTTTGTTATTTTGACTTTATGTGCATGAGTGTATTGACTGCATGTATGCTGTGCAATGTCCATAGAGGTCAGAAGAGGGTTTCAGATCCCCTGGAACTGGAGTTACAGACAATTGTTAGCCACCATGTGGTTGCTGGGAATGGAACCCAGGTCCTTGGCAAGAGCAACCAGTGCTCTCAATGGCTGAGCCATCTCTCCAGTCCCAAGGATTAGAATAATTTTAATTTCCATAAATATTTGTATGACACTTGAAATACACAAACATGTTAAGCACCAAAATGTGATTTTAGAAAATCCATACTATATATTAAGCATTCAATTGCAAATAGCAATTTTTAAAAAGCTAAGCTGGAATAATTACCACTGAAATTAAGTAGTCTGCCAAGTCATGATGATCAAATAGAGATGCTCTGCAACAAAGGAGAGTTAAGATACTATTACTATAAATATATAAAATAAAGCTGTCATAGTCCAAAATAAATTTAACTGGACAATGAATAACACACTACTATGTGGAAGAATTGGGATTCTAAGTAGCATAGTTTCAAAGCAATAAAAATCAGAAAAAATAAAGTATAAAATTTTCTGCCTCATGTCTTAATGAACCTATTCTCTCCTACAAACTCATGATTATGAAGTGAGTAGAAACATTTTCCTTGAGATATGAAAGACAAAAGGACTGGCAAATATAACTGCAATTGGAGGGATCAGGAAGATATGCCTAAAATGTACTTGTAGCATTTTGAATATGGGTTGTTAACCAAGACTCATTTCTCTCCTTCTGCCATATGGATCCTGGAGCTGGAACTCAGGGCATGAACTTTGGTGGCAAGCCCTTTTACCTACTAAGCCATCTCTCTGGTCCTAAATTTCATCCATTTCTTAGGGTTTCTGGGTGGATCTTTTTATCAGTATTCCTGGGTTTATGTATGCTAATTTTCTTTTTAATACTCTTCTGTAATCACAATATACTTTTTATGTAACTTTTTAATTCATTCCTTTATATCTTTGAAAGACTTAAATATCTTTATTTTCATATTGCTCTCTATTTTATATTTCTCCGAAGTAAATAAGCATCAACCTTAATTTTTTTGTTTAATCCTGTCTTTAAAATATTTTCCTTTATATTATGAAATTTTAGCTTGTATATTCACTGTAAATGGGAGTCCAAGTCTATGAATGCATATTGTACAATTGCTGGTAGTTTTGCTAATGTATCTATTCATTCTATTCCCTAGTTCAGGAGCATAGGAGTGACTAGTTTCCTTTCCCTGAGAAATATGTAGCTTTCCTTGTCCAGTTAACTACTGGGAATTTATCAGTGCTTCTCTGCCATTTTAGACTTCTACTTAATCACATGTTGGGAGGGGAGGAGGGGAGAAAGAAATACAAAGAAGTAACCTCTGTCACTCACGTGGGGGATAATTTAACCCTTGTTTTCCCAGTGGACTCTCAATTTATACATTCTGTTTCTTGTCCCAGCATCCGGGGAGCCTACAGTTTACAGCCCTTTTCCTGATGAGAATTTCTGCTAAACACCACAGAAATATTTGTTATTTTTTAATTGCTTAGAATTTCCTAAAGCTATATTTATGAAGTATCTGGGTCTAATTGTGGAAGTCAGCAGAAGCAGTCAGAGGAGACCAGTACAGTACCCATATGTATCTGCTCCATTACATTTAATAAACATAGGGAGAACACACATGAAGAACTGAAATTTTAGAAACAACTTAGAACGTCTCACATGTTGTCTTCCATATCCAGTAAGAAGTGAACCATGAACAGATTCAAAATATGTCACTGGAGACTTTATTCTGTAAAGATCTATTTAACATCCTACTTTGATTCATGGGTAACAGCAGAGCTGCTAGTTGAACCAAAAGGTCATTGCTATTAGTTCTCTTTTCTCTTTCAGTTTCTACTTAAAAGTCCAGTTTACCTGAAAGAGGACAAGCATCGATGCTTACTGTGAGGTTTTATTGCACAGAGTGTCTTTCTTCCTTTCCCCACTTCTGTTTATGTAGTCCTTTACTAATGAAGTGAGGTTCTTGTGTAGGTAAGCCTTGTTTTGTGATTTTTCCTATCTGCCCATTTTCATTCAAGTTTGGAGTCTTCCTGAATATTCAATAAAACTATCATGTTTTATTGTCTCTATTCTCTTCTCTTTTTATACTGTTTTGTTTATTCATGTGTTTCCATGATAATTAGTTATCATTTTCTTTAGTCTTCACTAAAGCATTTCTTGCAGGGTGAGGTGATTAATTCCTTTACTTTCCAGTCAACTGAGAAAGCCAATTCAGTCCTAGACCCTTTGTTAGCATAGTGACTAATTTTTATGGTAATGTGTACCATGTGAAAGACAGGTAGGACACTTGCCTATGAAGCAGGGTTTCCTGATTGCCATCGACAGCATTCACAATGTCAGTGCTTCCAGTATAGGATGAAATCATGAGTTTAACAATGTCAGTAGCTCCCTGGGTTGCAGCAAAATGAAGGGCCATGCATTTGCCATTCTATAAACAGTTTGAATACAAGCATTAGTGTTTATATCTCAACTTAGGGTTCTAACACATGCATATTCAGCTGTGAGTTTCTTCACCCCAGATCAAGGAATCTTAGATGAAACTGATAAACAGTGTTGCTTCATCTCCTGAAAATCGTCTCTAGAATCCATAACTAGCAAGGTGATCCCTTGCAATCTGATCACTCTAGGTACACACCAAGATCATCATTTGTGTGCCATTCATTACCTAAGGAGCATGAGACTCTCATTCCTCTAAGAGCTCTATAAAATGACTTCAGCTCAACAGAGGCAATTCTTCACTTCTATGTCAAAGAGTGTGGACACAATGGGAAGCTGCTACATGAGATTCACAATCAATCTCTGCTACCCACAGAAAGGAAAGGCCTTTGAGGTAGAGGTAGCACTGGTCCAGCTCAGTGCAAGAAAAGGCCTTGAAGTCTATGCTTTCCATCAGACATGACTGGCATAAGGCTGGGATCCAGACTCAGTCAATTTTCACATACATATCCCTAGAAATTAATTAGGTAATCCATAGTTGGAAAGTCTAACTCTTCAGAATAGAACTATAAACACAGACATTCATGATTTGGCTTCAGTATTCCTGGCTGGCAATATTAATGCTATTATCTTTGAGGTTAGGTCTTAGTGTATTCTATGGCAGATAAATGGATATGCTCTTTATTACATATCTGCATTTGTCAATGGTTTGGGTATATTGGAGTTTGCGAAATTAGAGAATGTTTTCTTCTGCATAAAGAGAAGGAAATAGTATTTCCGCCACATGCATTTCCAATCTTACTAGACTATAAAGGAGCTATAAACATTTTGGAAAATAATATGCAGCAATTCTCAAATCAAAGAGTCAGGTAGTCTGAACACTTGCCTCTATCATGTCAATGTGTGCACCATTGTCCAGGCACATTTTAATCATTTCCAGGTCACCACTTTGGACTGCCAGGTGCAGTGGGCTGACTTTCTTATGATTTACAAAGTTAATATGCAACTCTCTTCTGTAGCCATGCTTTTCACCTGTAGAAGAAAAAGTCACTTAAGATGAATATTGGGGGCTAATATTGGGGGCTAGAGATATGACTCAGAGGTTAAGAACACGTGCTGTTCTTCCACATACATGGTGCACTTGCATACATGCAGGCCAAACACTCTTATACATAAAAGAAAAATAATAAAATATTTTTTAAAGATGAATATTGAAAATAAATGTTTGTAAAGGTTTCTTTACTGTGTAGAGTTGTTACTCACCGTATTTCAATATTAATTCCATACATCTTTTGGCACCTGAAAAGGCAGCCTGGTGAACAGGGTAATCTCCCCATTTATTTGATTTACATATCTTAGCTCCTTTATCTAACTGGAAGAAAAAGAAAAGATAGTCAGTGACACAAGTAAAACTCCAAATCATAAGGGTAAGCAAAAATTTGTGTTCCTCTACAGGACATTTCATGGCCCTGAACCTGTGGGAAAATGCACAGAGGCCTCTGAAGGATGTGAAATCTGGGCAAGAAGCAACTTTGGGACCAGACTAAGGTTCTGCCATAAACATCTTACATCTTACAAAGATGAAGTAGTACCATCACACAAAAACATCAGTCTTAATCACCCAGCAAAGTCAGCACATTTTAAGTGAGGTTAAGGAGGCTTTTCAAAAGTATTATCATGATCTCTACTCTCATCCCCAACTTCTTGGACAAACAGAGTAATACTATTTTCCAGATCTGCCCGCTTCACTAATATAAAAGCAATAAAAATTAAATTAACAATTAAAATAATAATGTACCAGTACTTTTAATGAACCATGAAATTCAGGTACTTTCACCAGTGAAGATTTTTTCCTAAGCAGATGTCAGAAGAACTGAATCCTACATTAGCTTTTTATCTGAGACAATAATTTTCTAATGCCATTTTCTATAAATCATTTTCTATAACTCTATAAACATAAGCATTTTTCATTATAGAGGGAAATATGTGTAAACTGCAAAATCAAAGGAAAAAGAAAACACCCGTGTTCTTGCCTTCTAAATACAGAAGTAAATGTTGAATGTACATAAAATTCTGTGCACCTCAAAGATGTACCTCATAAAAATCATACTGTTAAGAAATATACTCTTAAGGAAAAGTTGTTTTGTACAGTATAATTACAGTTAGCTTACAAAACTATCTTTCAAAAAAACAGAATTCTTTTCTGAAGTGTTTTTAAGTTTATTATTTTTCTATTCTAATTTTTTTGGGTTTATTTAGAGTTTGTTTTTTCTAAGTTTTGTGTTTGGCTGTTAATTGATCTTATTTACTGCTTATTCTTTACTTCTTTTACCAATTATGTTAACATGCAGACCATGTATTCTCCTGTAAGTACATGCATTAAATATACTGACTCGTATTTGCACATCTAACTATCAGACAAATGTTTCCATATCATTTTAATTCTGGATAGCATGAAAATGACCCAGGAACATTTGCAAGGAAGTTCTTAGATAGAAATTCAGATGTGCCCTTTGCTGGGCACTACCCAGGGCACAGGGTCTCCCTGAGATGGGCACCTTCAGGCCCTTGGTGGACCACACCCGGAAACTTTCCCAGGGAAATGGCTGACTCCCTCTGGACTCAGGTCTGTGACTCAGGGCTGATAGCCATTAAATCCCACAGGGCTCCCCTGGAAGAAGCCAGAGCAAGGATTCTGATCTTGGGATGGGACATGAGGTTTTTCTCTACGGCTTGTACCTTGTGAATCAAGGACTCTATAGCTGACTGCATTCATTTTTTCTTTGGCGGTTTGGAAGTTCAGAATCAAATGGTTTTAATAACACTTAGGCTGTTATACTTTTAATTTATATTCTAGTCTGTCAGCCTCATCTTAATCCCTGCCTATATTTTCTTTTAACTTTGCTTTTTCTCACATTTTCTTTCATGCTTTACTTTTAGTCTTCTATATGCAATCTCAGGTGGGATATAAGGGTGTATCCACATAAAAAGCACAGAGAACTAAATTTTTATCCTATTTTCTGTATTTCATATTTTGCTAAGGAGAAACCATGAAGTGTTTCTTAAACAATGATTTCTGTCAAGATTCTTAAAAAGAAGGCAACAGAAAATGGTAAATATACAAACCAAAGTTTGCAATGCTTCGCTGTTATCTTTGGCAGATGCAGACATAACAGCCGTGTTTCCATTCTCTCCTTCTAAATTAATATTCGTGTCATTATGCTCAACCAAGACCTGGACAAAATGAGGAAATGATTTTTAAAAAGCTAAACTGCTGATTTTCAAATAAGTACGTTTTCCAGTAAATTATGTCCTTGGATGCCATAGACACGGTATTATTCTTCCATCTCAGTCCCACTCCCACAAAATATGACATACACTGTTGCACATAGTAGGTAGCAAATGAGCTTATCAAATACATAATGATTTTACTATCACAGCAATTAAGGCATTCTTCAATTGTGGATTTAGAACAAATAAAAATTTTAATTACAACTATTTTATATATATATATTAGAATGAACTTAGTGTTTCATGCTTTCTGGGCAAAGTACTTTCCCACTAGGTCATTTCCCCATTCTTACTTTTACTTGTTTTTTTGTTTGTTTGTTTGTTTGATTGTTTTTGGTTTTTGATTGTTTTTGTTTTTCAATTTTGAGACAGGGTCTCATTGCCCAGGATGACCTTGAATTTGCTCTGCATTCCAAGTAAGTTTTGAACCTTGACTGTTGTTCTTCCTTCTCCTCCTGGGTAGGTGGGAGGACAAGCCTGCACTTTCAAGTCTAGAAATTAAATAAGATTTTGGTGGTGGTTGTTTGTTTGTTTACTGTTCTTCTTTTTCTGAAGTTATATCAGTAGTTTCCTAGAAACTCTGACTTCTTTAAAATAGTACAGAACTTCCTAGCAGACTCCTTTCCCAACAAAGCAAGCTACAATGTGACATTCAGCAATGAATTAGGCTCTATTCATAAGAGAAAATTAAGCTGGGATTTTAGCACATATGAATACATAGAGGATTCTTGATGGATAAAGAGAAATGAGAACCAAAGGATCATTCCAGACTTTAGGCACATTCTATTTTTCAGGCCCATTTTCAAAGGCAAAGGTACCTATCAAAGTCTATAAGATCTTTTTTTCTTTTTTCTCTTTGCCCTCAAAGAATCACAGACCATAGATCTGCAGCATGTATTAGTGTATAATTATTGTACTGTCATAAGCATAATCTTTTAAAGGTTGAGTTAAATTCTAAGTGGCAGTGGTCCCAGAGAGAGTAACTAACCTATGCACCTACTTTATTCATTCATGAGCAGGCATGTCCTAAAGCTCAGCAGGCGAACTCTCTAGGGCCCTGTGATAAGAATCCAGGAAACTACCAGGCGTGGTGGTTTTAATCGCAGTACTCTGAGTTGGAGGCCAGCCTGATCTACATAGCAGTTCCAGGACGAATGGGGCTACATGGAGACCTTGTCTCACAACAACAACAACAACAACAACAAAACCCAAACCCCCGAAATCCAAGAAACCTAAGGAGAGGCTGAAACAATAGGATACTTTGAGCTTAAGCTCCATGGACAAGGACCATCAAGTAATAAGGTCACCCCTAGCCTCCAGACCAGTTGTCCCCAAAGAATATTATGTTGTCTATGTAAGAATTTGAGGTTATTCATGAATGAAAAGTTTTTACTTTATAACCATATAGGCAATGGTGGATATTCTGGGGGAAAGCTGGTGGGTTAGACAGTGAATAAACCTTCAAAGCTGGCTAGACCCATAGGCATAGTTAGAGAGATGGGCTGCAGGGATAGGCAAGGTGTTCATAAAAAGATCTCTTCTCTTCTTTGCATTATGATGAACCAGAAATGTTTGAGAATGGTGTTAGACATATTTTGGTTGGTAAGATCAAAACTAAGTAGAGCAGAGACAATTTCAACTCTCTAATGACCCTAGTTTTCTTCTTGGTCTAGTGTTGCTTAGAATTGGTTTTTATCTCTACCCAACTGTTTCACAAATTAGCTATAGGATTATTCCAGAACTTTTATGTCAATGATTGGTCTGAATGTTTTCTAATTAACAGTTTTTCAGTTGTTACCTGCTTTTGAATTCCCAAATCACGTTTTTAGAGCCAAGATTAATTAAGTTAATGATCATTTATTTATGAAAAAGCCTTCAGAGAAAGCACCAGAACTCCATGAGGAAATATGTGACACAACTGAGTGGTACCTGCAGTCCCTAGTGACCCAACCAAATGGAAGCAGGTCCTGGCTAGTGCATAATGTGGCATCAGAAGATAGCATATTGCCAGTCTTCTAACACCTCAGGGTGTTAGAAATCATACTCTTCACAGGAACAAATTCTTCAACTCCCTCCTCTGCGAATTCACTTTTCCATCCTTCATTTGATAGCTACCATTTATCAGAACAGTGCCAAGGACCACAGGTGTTCAGATTAGTAAGACACTATGTCTCTTTCAAGGGTAACTAGCCAGAAAGGAAGGAAAGCACGTGAGCATTTAATAACAATTTCACGTAAAAACAACTGCAGTAGAGTTCAAAACTAAAACACAGTAGGCAAGATGAAGAGGGCTCCCCTCTTTCTCTATATGACACACTTCAATGGACAAAGCTTTCCAATAGCTGAAAAGAAAGTTTTTTTAGAGAACATTAGCTAAACCATCATTCCAAGTATTGTTTCAAAAGGAAAACCTACTGTCAAGTTTCAAATAGCCTAAATTCAAAATGAATTTCTGGGACACAATCCATTTGTAGATGGCATTCCTGTTTGAGGGGGTATATCTGTTTTCTAGTGTGTCTGTGAGACTTTGAGGTATGTTTTAAAGCCACAGGACAAATTGTGGAAATTCAAGTCTTGAAAAACAAATTCTTAGTACTATCTCTAGATCTTCTGCTAATTTGTCTTTTGACAGGCCACCCATCTAACAAAAAATGGCACATCATAGTTAAGGTTTCTGTCTTCACTGAGCTTCATCTTCCTTCATTTAGCCATAGGGTCAGCAAAGCTTGAAGTTGGGAACTTCATGAAAAGTCATGCAATGTTAGGCAAGTTATTTAAGTCTCTCTGTACCTCATCTTACTCAGCTGTGAAATAGGGATACTAATAGTTTAATTTATAGCTGTTTTAAATGAGGATTTAATAAACAAAGACACAAATCTCTTCCAAAATGCCTGATAAAATAAAATACATGAAAAGTTGGCTGTGATTGCTGTGATCATCACACCATCCTTATCATAAGCCTCCTCATCATCTGCATCCTCCTCCTCCTCTTCTCCATCATCATCACACCACCATCACTATGAAAACTATCATCACCACCATCACCATCATTGGCATCACACATTACCATCATCATCCATCATCATTTTCATCTTTCTATCATCATCATCACCATCAGCTGTAGAAGAAGAAATATTGCAATTGTTACATTTTATTTGCTGTTTGATGGCAATTGAAATTGACCACTCTGACTCAGTGGAGCCAAGTCAGAAGTGGGTCCTGGTCTCTGCTCCATGGTCAGCCCCACTGTCTTTGGCCAACAGCCTTACTTTGGTCATCTCGTTGTACGTGCCCTGCACAGCTATGTGAAGGGGTGCCATCATGTTGCTATTTCGGAGGTTTGGGTTTGCTCCTTGGCTGAGAAGAAACTTCACACTTTCCACCTGGTTTTTCTCTACAGCCCAGTGCAGAGGGGTATTTCCATAATTATCCATTATATTCAGCACTAGGAAAAAATAGAAAAAGATGAATAAAATTTTGCTTTAGGTATATTTGACATCTCTTGAGTACCTACCTACTTCAAAGCTCAGTGTTAAGTGTTTATATAATCACCTACATGGCCTTTATGAGAAACTGAAGACAGTTTTACTTTTCAAAGTAATCCAATGGATACCATTTAGGAATATATGGAAGTATGCACAGATCTTACAGTTTAACTTAAATTTTATCCATTAGGATCTATAAGAAATAGATCCAGTTACATTTTTATCTGTATATGAATTCCATAATTGTGATATAATACTGAGACTATATAAGAACAGATGTATGTCAGATAACTAGGTTCCATATGACTATGATTTCATTCAAGCTTGTGATTGCCCATACGTACCATCATGATTGATGGTCAGAAAGATGAAGATTCTGAGAACTAGAGAGGTTGAAAATCTTGCTACCAGCACACTGTTTTTAAGGCGTTGTGTGAGTTACATCACATCTTTGAACCTCAGCTATCTCAAACTTGACAAAAAATATACATATATGCAAATATGTACATAGTTATATGCATGTTCAATTGTGTATACATTAAAATACACACACTCATTCCTTATAATGCTGTTGGGAGAATAATACTGAATTATGTCTCTAAAAATCTTAGCAGAGTAGGGCTCAGGGGATGGCTCAGAGGTTAAGAGCAGTAGCTACTCTTGCAAAGGACTTGGGATTGGTTTCCAGCCCCCACATGGCAGCTTAAAACCAGTTCCGGGGGCTCCATCACCCTCTTCTTGCCTCCCCAGGCATTGCATGCATGTGGTACACTTTCACACAGGTAGGTGAAACAGTCATGCCCTAAAATAAAAAATAATGAATTACTTAATTTAAAAAATCTTAGCAGAGGACATGGTCTAGTGTAAGGATTCCAAAAATGTTTATGAGAAAAATGGCTCAGCACTCAAAAGTCCTGAGTAGATTTGAACTTGAGCCCTGGTGCTGTACATGTTCCCTATGCATTTGTCAGATAATTATATCTGACTTATTAAAGTGGTGCTATTTATCATGTGAACACAGCATAAGATTGTACGTCCCTTCATCATTCACTGCTCAGTAGCTAGCAATTCTGAGATAGTCATGGAAGTATATCTTTAAGTTGGGGAAACGGGAAAAATGCTCACTCATGACTATGATTTGGCAGCCATCAAGAGTATTAGGAACTATGGCACAACCAAGTTTCCTGTTTCTTCTCTTTACTCTCTCCTTTCATCCCTCCAAGTACTTCCTTCTCAACCACCACATACACACATACACATACACACACACACACACACACACACACACACATGCACACACTTTGACCATTTTGTCTAAGCAGGAGGGCCCCTTCTATTCAGCATCAAACAATTAAACAGGGCCCTGTACTCACAAACTCATTCACTAGCAAGTAACTTGAATATGACTTTTATCTTGACCACTTTTCTGAAGTCAATTTTCTACTAACCATGTTAGCATTCTAATGCAGGGCTTTCTTGTGACCTCCTTCCTACTTGCTCTTCTGTGGAACAACTGATTGCTCCAACTCATCATCGCAGAATCTTCTCCCCTAGCTGTGTCCAGCTACTGTCTTGCTCACTGCTCTCCCTCTGCCACCGGTCTCTTACCTCCTCACCTCCAAACTACCTATTGCTAGCAATCTCTTGTCTCGTAAAGGATGTCCATTTATTTCCTTCATCTCCTCTACTTCTTAGGCAAGAATGGTCCTGGAGGGATGGCTTCTGCCTTTTGTAGTTCTGATTGTCTTTGGGATATCTCCAAAGGGATGTGCCCGTGATGTGCAGGCTAGGACTGATCAGATCTCATACTCACACTCACTTTGTTTCTGCTTGCTATAAGGCCTCCTCTATGGTTTGGCTGGTCATGCGCTCGCTAGTTTCCTAAAGAAGGACCTACAACATCAGTTCTAGGCCCCTGACACTCTCCACATTTGATCTGTTGCTAAGCACTGTTGTTACTATGTATACAAATCTCCTGGTCGCTCCCTTCCTCCTTATTCCAAATCCACAGCCTTGGAGGCATCTCATCTTCTCTTTGTTCTAAGATAAAATATTCCCTGAACTTCTAATCCACTTCCACATATTATTGTAATTATGAAACGAAGGGTCTTATCATACCACTTCATTGCTTAAATCTCTCTGGCATACACTTCCCTTACTGTCTACAGATACATTTATCAAACAAAGCCAGGTGTCCAAGGCTTGGCAGGGGAAGAAGCTTAAATCTTGAGGTGTCTATTTCATGCAATGATAAGAAATTTAAATAAAGAATAACCAAATAAAATAGCATAGGTGGTATGTAAAACACAAATGAATTGTTACTACCTATCTAAAAATTTAGAGAAAATGTGATCTTGCTGTGGGTCTTAGACCTCTGCACTAACTATCCCTTGAAGTACTCCAGGAGATCTGATCTATAAAGAAATCCACATTCAGAGTGAGAGAGATGCTCGGGCCGGCCAATCTGGAGATAATCCACCTTTCAGAATCATTTCATATGACTCTTCCCAATGACTGTAACAGGAAAACGGCTTTCTGGAGCCCTCATCATAACACTTGACTACCTTCACAAGAGGAACTATGGATGATCATCTTCATCAGTTCAACTTGACCTTCTGCTGCTGCATGATGCAACGGGGAGATATTTTCATCCTCGTATTTGCTTAGTTTTCTTCGGTTCTTGATAAAATCTTCTAGTCTGTATGTATCTCCTTCAAAACCCACCTAGAAGTATATTAAAACTCTATTACTTCAAACCAACATGTGCAAAACTTATGAATATAAAGCTACACATTTTATAGCCTTATACTTTACTACTATTCAAAAGTGTTATGCTTACAGTAAATATTTTTTCTTGAAAAACAGGATAAATGCATACAGATACAACGTACAGGCAAATGTTTTACCAGGTGAGATGTACTTAATTCACAGCAAGAGAAACTGAGTAACAAAGGGACAGAGTATGATCAAAGTACATTAAATATATGTGTGGAAATTTTGTACTTAAACCCCTTATTTTGTATAATCAATATACACTAATAACAATAATAAGAAGGAAAAATAGTTTTTTAAATGTATTTTTATTTTATGTATATGAGCCATTGTCTGCTTGTATGTAAATGCACCTGTGTCATGCAATTCCCATACAGGGCATCGGATCCCCTGGAACTGGAGTTAAGGACAGTTGTTAGCCACAATTTGGGTGCTGGGAATCAAATCCAGGTCTTCTGGAAGAGCAGCCAGTACTCTTAACCACTGAGCCATCTCTCCAACCCCAGAAAAAAAGATTTTATGAATGTAAGATTATTAAGCCTAGGAATCTAAACTACTGTCCTTTCTCTGGCTCTTCCTGCCTATAGTCAATCTCCACCCAACTTTTCCTCCTGAACGAATGTTCCCCAACAGACTTGCTAAGCAATCTAGAACAGTTGCCCTCCCCCACACCCTGCTCCCAGGAATAAGCAATTCTTGCCAAAATTAAAGACGTTTCCCTAAACATCCATATCACAACAACCTATTTCATTATTTAACTATGTGAAAGTTCTTAATACTGTCTTATACAGAAAATGAAATATTATCTAAAGTATTAAATACGGAAGTATTTAGCCACATTTCAGCTGCTTTACAAAAAAAAATTTTTTTGGTCTTTTTGAGACAGGGTCTCCCTGTAGCCTCAGCTGTCCTGGAACTCACTATGTAGACCAGGCTGGCCTTGAACTCACAGAGATCTGTCTGCCTCTGCCTCCCGAGTGCTGAGACTACAGTTGTGTGCCACCACGCCTGGCTGCTTTACAAAATTTTTATTCCAAGTTGCTTCCAGAATTATCACCTGTATTTGAAAGTGAATAGCTAAGTATTATCAATAAATCTGAGTGACAAACTTTCTTCTATTGACATTGTTGCAATGCTTAGAGCTGATGGTGTCATTCATCATATATAGGACAGCAATGCCAGAAATGCCACTGAATTGGGTATTCTAATATTCAGCTGACAAAGGCAAAGTCATATCTGAAGCTCAGCTGTGGATATGAGCCCAAACTGAGACTGAAACCAGGAGCTGGCATGCCAGGGACATGTCCTTAGTTGGCACACCCTGGTCTGCTCTAGAAATCAGCATTTCCAGCTCCGTGCTGTGCAGCTGTGTTTCTGTCCTGCTTGAGTTCTGGGAGGTTCTTCATCTTACTGAAGGTACCTTCTTCCACTCTTTGCTCCCTGTCCACCCAGGTTCCCGTGGTGGTCTAAAGCCTGGAAGTCAAGCTGATAACACATACCACCCTCTCCTCCAGCCTCTCACTCACTCAAGTCCACTGTAGAGAGGGGACAAGGTATGTGGTGACTGACAGCATGACTGATATGTGCTGTGCCTTCTCATGTTTTTAGGCTTTTGTTTGTTTGCTTGCTTGCTTGCTTTTATATTATTGGGGAAAGTATCATGTATCTCAGGCTAACACTGAACTTGCTATGTAACAGAGGCTGGGCTTGAACCCCTGATCCTCGTGCTTCTGAGGGACTAGGAATGATAGCAGATAAGCACCCTGACAGGCAGACAGGGAAAGAGGCTGTAGTAACAGCAAGTTTTTGTTTCTTCTTTATCCTGAATAAAGGCTTGGCAGGCTTTATTTTTAAATCCAGCAAGTCCCCCTTTCCAACTGACCTAGCCAGACATGTCCAAGATCACATAGTTCTGACATATCTAAGATTGAATGAAGCTATGGACCTATCTGTTTAAGTTGATCAATCCTAAATAAGGAGAAGGGACTTGGCCTATAACACAAAAGCTCTTAGACCCAAGCTTTCCTATGGGCTTTGGATTTAGGTTTCTGAATCCCTTCCTCACTTGGGAGTATCTCTCTCTCTCTCTCTCTCTCTCTCTCTTTCTCTCTCTCTCTCTTTCTCTCTCTCTCCACTTTTAGTAATGTTCGTGGCCTATTGTCTTTGATATGCTTCCTGCCTGTCAAGTCTCATCTCCATTGGTGGGGAACATAAACCCAATCATGACCCATAGACAGTAACATTTTCACTTCCCAAGTGCTGGCATTACCAGTGTGAGCTGCCACACCAGGCACGATTTTAGGTTACATTCCCTTTAATTTCTAATATGGCACACATTATCTATAATTCACACAAACATGACATCTCCAGGATCTACTCTATTGCTCAAGCTCAAAGAGTTTCTAAGACAAAATAAAATTGGAGAAATTTCCTGTCTTTCATTTTATGCATTTTATCCAATAGTTGGTACTCATTTGTATTATTTCCTTTTCATGATATATTCAAATGTGCAATTTTTTTCCCAGAGAGAAGAAAGGAAGAAAGGAAGTAAGAAAGAGAGAAAAGTCGGAGCTTTCACGCAGGTGAGGGCATGTGGAACTTTATTTCTTTAGAGACAGTGACTCATGTGTCCCCAGGCTGCCTCAAACTTGCTGTATAACTATGGTTGACTTTGAATTTCTGATCTTCCTGATTCTTCCTGATTCTTGAATGCTGGGATTATAAACATGTACCGCCACACCCAGTTTATTCAGTGCTAGGGATCAAACCCAGGGCTTCATCCAAGATAGAAAAGCACGCTACCAACTGAGTTACATCCCCAGCTCCCTACAGAATTTTATCCACAATAGAATCTCCTAGTCTGCATGATAAGTTTTAATTTCCTAGAGGCTTAAATGTATAAAATACAAAGAATCAACAGATATCTGTTACAGTTCTGGGATAACACCAATATTTAAATGACTTATTGTTGTCTTTTCCTATTTTCAAATACATGACTGCATTTGCCTAAATTGTTTTCAAAGCTACCTTCCATAAATACTTCATTTAAAAGAGCAAAACAAAAATGTATTGCATGATACTAGATTGGAATGGATCCAAGATGAAATGATGACTCTTTCTGAAAATCTAGAAATATCTCCCAAACAAAGACTGTGAAAGTTGCTTTAATTTCTCCCTTTGACCATGACTACAACCTTTGCCATATTATAAGACAGCGGTCAAAATCTAATTTGTTATTTTAAAGAAAATGGAATATTTCTCACTACTTCAAGGAAAAACTATCAAATAGAGTAGTGAAGATTTTGACACATTAAGATTAGTTCAGTAATTGTGAAGCTAAAGTAAATTGAAATCTCTAAACATAGAACTTTGTATTTTACTTCCATTGTCACAGAATGGAATCTAATACATTAAATCACCCTTCTGTGGTAGTATCTAAAATAAAGATCTATCATCTTCCAACTAAAAAAACTGAATTCTGTATGCCTTTAGTGACTATAGAATATAACAGCACATCCAACCTCAGATTTACTTATATTTAAGAATGAAACTGAGCTTCTTGAAGAAAGAGTCCTCTTTTTTCTCCTTAATATCTTGCCTTATCAAAGAAAATGTTTACTTAAATCAATGTGGAAGCATTTTAACAAATCTGATATGCCCTTTGGATGATAAGATGGGGTTATACCACCCACTACCAGAGCCTAAAAGAGTGATTTACAAGTCTGTTCAGAGTCATATGATTGATATAAATCCTCCACACTCTTTAGAGGAAGAACTAGGTTCAGATGCTTATAAGATCGTATTGAGTTCATAGCAACAACACAATCTTTAAAGACTTCACATGGGCTCATAAAGTGTGCTAGAGTGTCTCAATTCAGAATCTGACATGTCCTCTGGCCTTGAAGAAGTTCATTAAAAATATTCTTTAGGAAGATTCAAGATATCACTTAGACTCACTATTATATAATATAAAATTATTTAAAACTACTGACATGTAGTACATTTTGCTTTTGGTCTTTCTGATGAGATGTTTATTAAGAAACAGGTTTATCTGGTCCAACTGTATGGCCTTAAACACCCAAAAGGAAAGTATAACCAAAGATTAAATGGGCCAACATAACTTCATAAGAGTCCACATGCATAGCTAAAGGCTACATAACAAGCAACAATGCCAGATAGGAGATACCTTCTTTTGAGTTGTTGGCCAG